CGATGGGCCAGACTTCTCGAATCCCCGTACCGTGTCGTATCAACGCACGGAAAGTGGATTGCCGAATGCGTGTATCTCGTCGTCGAACATTCATCTTGGCTGCGAGCCCACGCTTGCCGGTCAGGCGCTCAGGTCAGCTGCGAGGCACAGCGACAGCGAAGTTGTTACTGGGAGGTGACTCCTCACGCACGTGCCATCACTGTGCAGAATTGCATGCCGCCTTGTTTTTATTATTTATAAATGTGCATGCCTTTATATACGCGAGCATTTGGTCAAGAGGATGTAAACGTGACACATTTCTAATCCGAGTCCCCCCCCACCTCCTACATTCAGCCCAGAGTTCATTCACAGCCGTGCTGACTTCTGCGAGACTTCCTGTTCCAGGCGTCTCTCCCACTCGCGTTCGGGCTGCCCGGCTGCCCTTGGGAGCCCTCTCCACGCTGCCCTGTCGTGCGCCACATCGCCCCCCCCCCTACCGCCACCTCTTCTTCTGCCTTCTTCTGCTCTTGATCTCTTTCCTTCCGCTCGCATCACTCGCCACCTACTGACCCACGTCATTTCCCTGTCGTCTCTCAACACCACCGAATCACACCGGAGCCTTTTCTCTCTCTCTCTCTCTCATCTTCTCCGCGATTTGTACCACCTTGGGGGGGGGGAGGTCTTCCTCTCGCTTCTTCAAGTCTCACCCTGCCTTTCCTCGTTAAACCCCAACATCCACCGCAACTACTCGTTCATACATTACGAGCACATCCCATTCTGACGATGAGTTCACTTCGCCACGCGCTCACGTGTCACCTGTCACCGTGCCTATCAATGAACACGTCCGTCCGTGAACGACGTCAACGCCGAATGACTCTGCCGCGAGCATGCCCGCGCAAAACATCTCCGTCGTAGCAATCGATGATCAATTACCCTCCACGTCCCAACACCGCTGTTGCTCAGCCCGTACAGAGCAGCATCAACAAACGTCAATCAAAGTGACCCCCCCCACCGCTCTGCATGCCCGTTTCATCTTCGCGTCTCCCGTGCGCGCACGGCGCACAAAAGGGGTTTGTCTCTGGCTCCCTTGCTCGACACGGGGTCGTTTTCAAAGTCGCCGCCTCCTCCGTCTCGACCTGGGCTCACTTTGACGACAACCCAAGCACCCCTCGTCATTCTCAGTCACCGCTGTGCAGCAGTGAAGTTGAAAACAAACCAAAAAGTTCACGCGACAAAAAGATTGTGGCCGTCGCCTGCTGTGTTTAAAAAAAAAAAACAATATTCCACGAGCACATGAATTTCATATTTATTCCCCTGCTATGTTTTGACACTCGGCGTCGTTACATCGGCGTGCGTGCGACATGAAAGGCTCCCTCCACGCCTCTCGTCAACGCGACATTTTCAAGGCGCGCCTCTCGCTCTGTCTGCAGCAGCAGCAGCGGCATCCCTCGGGCCGCGAGGCTTCAAGACAATGGACTGCGCCTCCCCACCCACCCACCCAGCTCCACGATGACAGCACGAGCCGGTGTTGAATAAAAAAACAAATATATATAAACGCCAATCGAACACAAAGACGTCAGAGCATAAACACGTGGCGCGCTAATCCTTCGCTGTTCGCGGTGTGCATTATGCAAATCGGGTCCCCTCCCCTCCGAAGCCTCTCCTCCTCCTCCTCCGACTCTCTCCGTCGTCGTCGTCCCTCTCCCCCACGAAGTATTACCGCCGGTCCAGCCGCACCCTCTGCGTGCCCGGCGCGCTCCAGGCGGCATGCCCAGCGTGGGCGGCCTTGCTGCGAGCAGCCGTGTCCAGACGCTGCTGAGCCTCGCGTCCTCGCGCGTCTCGTGGATGCTCTCGCTGCTGTCCAGCGTGTGCACGGCGCTCTGTGTCAAGTACAGGTAGGGGGTGGGGTGGGGAGGGGAGCTCGCGTGGGCGGGGGGGGGGGGCTTTGGAACGAGCGGTGTTGGCGGCGGTGGCTCGACTGGGTCTCGTCCCCCGTGCGCTTCCAGGCGCGCTGCGATGATGATGACGACGACGACGACGCCGTCTTCCCTCTCCATTGAGCACGCGTTCTGTTGGCTTCGGTGGTCGCTTGCACTGCTGATGCTGCTGTTGTGACCGCAGCTTCCTCAGACACTTGGGCGGGGGGGTGTCGGTCCGTGCTGTTGTGGTGGGGGAGGAACTCTCCCTGCTAAACCTTCTGCTGAAAGAGCCGCGACGTCGCGTTCGTCTCGCCCCGGGGTGGCGTGGGAGCCAGCCCCGTGTGCCCTAGCCTGCGTGTAGTTGTGAATCGGACACTTTCATGAATTGTCTGTAATGCGGGGGGGGGGGGGGGGGTCTTAAGAGAGGAGGGAGGGGGTGTGTTGTGTAGGAGTGGTGGGATGAGTGATGGGATGTATTGTGAAGGAGCCATAATTTCCAATTCCGGTCCCTGAGTCAACAAAATCCATCATCACTCTGGGATGATAAATTAGCTACCACGTTGTGGGAATTCACCAGCGGTCGACTTACGGGGGGGGGGGATCTGACTCTCACGAGAGAAATTTGGAATTTCCACTACTTGTTCTGCCCCGCAAACGGATGTGAGCATCCCACCACTGCACTGCTTTGAGCAGATAATGGCATTTTCTGTAAAGTATTTGTATTAAGATGTAGTTATTCTGCAGACGTAACTTTTCTTTTGTTGGAAATTCTACGTTGATGACACATATGTATTACATGCAACGTGCGTGCAGGTAACATTGTGTGTTTGAATTGTATTTGAATGAGTGGGCTGGGCTACTTTGGTCTGGGTTTTTTTTATTCATTTTCAGCGTGAAACTTTTTTTAAAAAAAAAGAGGATAATAACCCAATCACACGTGACTATTCTTGTTCACAAAAGTCTACAGCAATAGTCTCTACCCTACCGTGCACTGCAGCATCAACATCTCTTTTCCTCACGTATATTAGCACATTTCATGTCAACATTTTCAACAGTCATCACTTGGCGAACAAAATAAGCGCATGCATTAAGAGCACGGTGACTCGGTTAGTCACTGCAACATTTTCTTTAAAACACATAGTTCATTTAATTCTATCGTGCCGAATATTAATACTAATCATTCACATCCCTTTATCAATCCACTGCTGGCTGAAGGCCTCCCCATGCCACGCCAATCTTGGGATTTGTTTGATCAAACGTAACTAAGCTGATCAGTGCCGGTTGACGGAGAAGGGCACGTTTAGATATCACTCGCCACTGATGTTCGCCATGGCCAGGAATCGAACTCAGGTAGCTGCGCTGATTCGAGGCAGTGCGCTCACCGCTGAGCATCGCCCTCCTGCCCATTTACACATCATTCACTTATGAGATTGTAAACATTCAAATGTGGGAAAATATCCATCTCAGGGCGCCAGATGCGGTTGTGAAATTTCCTCAACGACCCATGTAATGTTGTTTTAAATCAAGAAATTCCTAAATTTTAGCAACCGTGAGTTGTGTTTGTGCTTCCCTTGTCATTGTCCCATGGGATAATAGACGCAATCCCTTGCGTAGACGTGAACCCGTCCGTACGAGTGAACCTATCTCGACTGACTCTCCAATGAAGGGAAAATAGTCATAATGCGGCCGCGAAACGTGTTGTCCGTGCGCATTTTCAGTAAATTAACCAACTCGTTGGCCGCTCGAACACGCTGAACTGTTTTGGCAGAGGTACACCAGCCGTGCGTACATTATGGGCAGTTAAGCCACTACAGTGCTTTACGTCATCGGCTGAATGTACGACTAAATTGTGTACGTATGATAATGAAAACATTTGTCTGCAGCATACTTTATTATTAAGGAACACAATATTGAATTGTATGGCTTAAATGCATTTGAAAATACATTTCGTTAAATTAATGCGATGTTTGTGCTGATAGTTGGTGATGTTTTGTACAATTTATTTATTTTTAACAAGTTCTTTGTACAATTTCTTTGGACAATAATGGGTGCAATTGTTAATCTTTTGCCAATATAGTTTGGCAAGACAAGGGGTGACAATCGCATATACACGACATTGGATATCCCACAATGCATCGGTCCACTCATGTAGCTCAGTTGGTTAAGAGCAGCAAGCCCACTCGGTCTTGAAAACATAAGTTCAAATCCAGACAACGATGAACTCAGCCACACCATCATTCCTCCAGTGGCAGTGAATTGAGCTTCACCTTACAAGGCTGCACGACTCTGTGTGAAGTTTTGGTTAGACTGGACCCTGCCATGAGAGTGTGCAATTTCCACCACAAGCTCAATAAACAGAGTGTGACACTGGCTTTCGTGAGCCCTCACTGGGACGTCCTTGTCATCGCCATTGTTGTTGTCGCGAGGCTGTAACCTCTTACTGCTGGGAAAAGCCACCCTCGATTTTCTTCCATCCCTTCCTTTCCTTCCTCCTTGTTCAGTAATGACCTCTGAACTCTTTAACGTTGCCTCGCTGCTGCCATCTCGTACACCGTCTCCCTCTGCTTCTTTTGCATTGACTTGCTGTCCGCTCTGTGACTGGGGTTGGCCAATATGTCAATAATTTCTCCATGCCACTTATCAAGAACTGAATTTGCGCTTCGCTCGGCTTCGCCCGTTGCCCCGACGATCGTAGCAATGCAAAGGAGTGGAGATGTGAACCCAACGAAACAAGCGAAAATCTTTTTTTTTGCCTTACATCTCCCATTGAGGTTGACCATTCCCTCCGCTCACTGTCTAGATGAGGGTCAACAAATGTGCAGTTATTATCAGTGCCATGTGGTACGACTAAATATTGCCAAATAACTTTGTCTGCGTGCACCGAGCCCTAATAATGTGATGGGCTTCCTCGCTCAGGTGCGACCCTCTACTGAACATATTTAGCCCACTGTCTCGTTTACGGTCTCGTCGCCGCGGGAGCTTGGAAGCGTCGGGCTACAGAGGTTTGTTTGAATTTTGAATATTGTCACTGATGAGGCTTCTCTGTGCGCGTGCGACTTCATTGACGCACTTTGTCATTTCCGCCTGGCTCCTCCTTTCCAGAAAATGCTTTCAAACGGCGCACTTTTACGTAGAGGACAACGACTCTCCCCGGGTGATCCCTGCCATCCCGCTCGCCGCGATGCCAGGTACGTGTCTCCCAACGGCACCCCCGCTGATGGCGATGATGATGATGGTGGTGTTCAAAAATCACGTTTGTTTATTTGTCAACGACAAGCTCTGACTGAGCCTCGATGTTCCTTTCCAGGACTGTCCTGTGTTGTTGGCGTGGTTGGCCAGGCCATGAATGTGCGTTTGGCTTGTGGATGGGGGGGGGGGGGAGATGTCGTAGAAAACTCACAAACTTGAGCGGGGTGACGCACAAAGCTCTGCACGGTTGGATTCAAGAACACAGCTGTACTTCCGCAACTTTTTTTAAGAAGTGGGAAAACCCACCCGCGGATGGGCTGACACTCAGGTTCACAAACCTCACTTGCTGGACTACCACCCCTTGGGCCATCTCACAGCTCAGCGGGCTTGAGAGCCTCACGATGGAGTCTGTAATCCACCAACCCCTCATGGACAGCCCTGGAATATGGGCGTGTGGTGCCACCCACTCGAGTGAGTTCACCAGAGTGTACCCCGCCCCGCCAACTTTCCTGAATGTTAAGAACGAGACGGAGCTAATCGATGCTCGATTCGACTAGTGGCCTTGACCCACAACAACTCAAGGCCACGTGGTGGGGGGTGGGGGGGGATGGTTGGTGAACTGACACACCCTGAGGACTGCACTGCGTTGAACACAGGAGGCGGCGTGTGAACGCACGTGAACCCTCAGCGCTGCGTTCACACACGGAGCGGGCAGCGAGCCTGCGTGTTGATGATGACGGGATGGCTGAGCGTCGCTGTGCTCCGGTAGCCGGTACCACCGTGCCGGCTCCCGGTGATTGGCGGGCACCGGTTAATTTGTCGGCGCGTGTGCTTTGTGACGTCCGCTGTCCGCTCGACGAACCGCAGCGGCCGTGACGCTGCTGCTGCCGCTGCCGCCCGATGCCTAACGATGGGGCAGTGGGGATGTTTGCCGTGAAGATTGGAATCGTTTTATTGGCCCTAAGATTCGGGGCAAATGCCAATTTGGGAAATGAAGGGAATGTCGCTGTGCCGCGCCATTAAAGCGGAGCGATGCGCGTTTGTGTGGCAAGCACACACAGAGATGTGGGAATGCACAGCGAAAGTGTTCTTTGTGTGGTGGTTTATCTCTGAAGGGAGGAAGGGTCCTCAATGTGATCCCTCTTGGCTCTGAGTAAAATACTTCGTATGCAATTTAAGCATACTACGATCGCACTCTACATGATTTGTTATTTAATAATGTGCAGTTTTATACAGCATCGCCCATGCAAATTGCATCTCGCAATCGCCGTGGAACCACAGACAAGCTGGAAGGCAGCGAGCTAGTGCCAATAATTGTCCAAGCTCTGCTGTCCTCTATAAACTGAAAAAAAAATTTCTCCAATTAATGTGTGTTAATACATGTGAGATGAAACCGAAGCACCCAGAGAAAACTGACGCTTTCGAGGATGCAACCCTCCATCCCAGACAGAAAGGAAACTCCAATTATACAGGCGTCAGGGTCGGAATTGAACCCACGACCTCCTGCATACAAGGCGAGGTAGTTAACATCTCGACACCGTGGCGTCCCTGTGCAAGCGGTTGGAAGTTCCACATTCCCATGGCAGGGCACAGTCGAAAGATAGGGCAGTCGGTCCGATGAAATGTTTTTTTCCGCGAGGGGGTTTGGCACACGCCGTTAGGAAGTCTTGCTCTCAGCTATGAATGTCCACACCTGGGGCTGAAAAAAATGATGGTGTTACATTCACTGCTTAAATTTAGCACCCGACAACCGCCAAGTGCTAAAACGATGCGGTGACATCATCTCTGTCTTCTGTTGTGTCACGGGGATTGAAAATGGAATTAAAATATCCCCAGTGTTGTGAAATAATCATATATAATTATACTAATGAAGATTTACTATAACGTGGCTTTTAGCAGATACACGATAGTAATGACTATACCGTACATGAAAATCAGGCCATGTAATACTCGTATGTGATATTACTATAATTGAGATGATGAACAGTGTTCTGTTAGACCGTGGCAAGCCCTCTAGACGCGCACAAACCCTCTAATACACAAGGAGGGTGAGTTTCTGCTCTACGCAGCAGGGCATTCATTTTACATTTTACGTGTGTGGCAATACCAGTTGAAGCTCTGGCATACCGTGCATTGTAGGCTTGGGGTTTGCGACGTGTCTAAGAGATTGCAGTATAGCGATGGATTATTGAATCTATCTGTGCGAAGCTTTGTGCTTTTTATCTTGTGAAAACCGGTTTCCTTCCACATGACAAACACGTGTCCATGGACCGGAGCAGAATGAGTATCACAGGCTGTGGTGGATATTTAGTGATACCAAATTCTGTATTTGGCAACAAAATAAAAGAATGGATTCTACAATAACATACTTTATTAATCTAGGTCATTGCATAATTCTCTTTTACTGGCGGGTCAAACGTATTGTAATGACTCGGATCGTACGAGCAAGTATAATACATATTGTCTGGAGCGAGGTCATTCGGGGGTTTACTTTGTTTTATTTTGTTGAGAATCCTGTGAGTGTCACTTTGAGATGCACAAAAGATTGTAAATCAAAACACCGTGCCAAAGACTGCCAACCATGAAAGATGGCGATGGATGGGGGGGGGGGGGGGGGGTTAGACCTTCATCCAACAGCGGATAGATCATGGCTGATGATGGTGACAACGATTTTGTTAGTTTAACACGTAGGCTTTCGCGACCAATATTATTCATAATAAAGGTTTTTGGGTTAGATCGCGTTATTTATAAATGTGTCGTAACCCTCCACCACCCGACACGGCCAATCATCAAAAAATGAATGAATTAGTTAAATGACGACGTGGAGGGTTACGGCACATCTATAAATAACGCGATCTAACCCAAAAACCTTTATTATGAACGAGGATGTTGATGATCATGATGATATTCATAAAGATACGTGAAATTGTATTTAAAAAATCTGTGATTAAATCCTTTAACATCACTCCATCTGACATTTAAAGCAGTAAATTAAGGCATTGCGTTGGTAATTATGTCTTGCATAGTAATTCTACCATTGAGAAAAACAATATTTTAAAATGAAATGCGCTCAATTGAATCATTGGCCATGCCTCCTGTTCATACAATAACACAGCCAATCAAATCCTTGACTTTATATCACCGTGAATTCATGATCTAAGCCATCAACTTGATTTACCGCTCCACTAAATAAATCTGTCAGTAAAATATCGCGGACGATCACACTCGATGTTGGAAGGAGCTCTCGCAAAACCGCTCACTCTGTGCGCAACAATCAGCTGGGCCGCGAACGGAGATACAGGCCTGTAGTAACTCAGCTATTCTATTCTATTTCGCATTTGTCTAACGCCCTGTCAGGGCAGTTAGCTCATATCCTGGTCAATGTTAGTTCACTTTATTGTCTGCAAACATCCCAGCTAACCAGAGTAGGCCTGGAAAAAATGCACGCGCAGCAAATGACTGGTTAACACTCAGCGAGCCACACGAACACTTTCAAATCCTGGCTGTGAGCACAACAGAGATGCATTTTCAGCAGCAAAACGTCTATTTCTCTCTGAACTGCATAAACATATAAATGTAGACTTTGTATATACCACTGCTGTATGGACTAGACACTCTCCAGAGCTCTTCTCGTGGAAGTCATTGAGTCAATCGTGGGGAGAGTAATTCACGAATGTTCAGGCCCACACTTTAATATTCTATAGATATTCTATATATATTTTATGGAATGTGACATACGGAGATAGATGCTATTTAGGAAACGCAACGTAGTTTTCATCTCGTCGCGCTTTAAAGTCACGGCATGCACGATTGTAATATCCCACACACACACACAAGCGTGGTGAAGTATGGTCAATCAACCTCTCACGGCCCACACGCTATGGAGAGTTATTCGTTCAACAGCGGATTAACACACAAATGACTTTACGTGTACACGCATCTACTCGAGTGCATAAATGTCTTGCCTATGTGTCGGTGCATGCATGTGGAACTGAAGGCTGTGTTCCAAGAGAGCCTTTTGATTTATGCCGTGTTGGATTAAGTGATGTATTGCCATTTAAAGCAGTTGTCATCGAGTTTAAACTAAATCCTTTGTGTGTGGTCTTATTTTGCGTCCAACATCATTAACACCTTTCATTAGCCTCTGATCACCATGCCATTGCCAACACATGGGGCTCGCTATCATCAATTTAATTTTCTGTTGCCAACAACGTATTAATAACTCGGCGTTTTAAAAATGCCCAACCACAGCAAATTTCACTTTACGCAGATGTGCTAACAATTGACGAACGAGACTAATGTAATACTATCTTTTAAATATTAGTGTCCTTTAGAGGGAGAAAAAATAATCCAAATCCACTTAACTTAAGCAGTCACTAAAAATATGTCTGTGTTGAGCCGCGTAGATTGTTGGGACAAGTGCTGTTCGCGAGCGCCTATTGTGAGCCCAGCACTGCCTAAGAGTGGCCAGCACAACAAACATCTGACCGCCTTTGTCTCCCTAGCGCTATTGTTGACCACACTACAGTACTCCAACCATCTACTCAGTTTAGGCTGAGTCAACCTAAGGGAGGCCAGCACAACATACATCTGGCCGCCTTCGTGCTATTGTTGACCACACTACTCGGACCGGCTGCTTATTTTAGGCCGAGTCGAGCTACTGGAAGCCCAGTTTGTGGTTCCCATAATAATTGTCAGTGGAGCAGCGTGAGACTGGCAGCTGAACCATCCTGACATCTTGGGGCTGTGCACAAAGGAGTGGAGGAGTGGAGCCATCTCTGTCGTCTGTCATGGATTGTGAACTTGGGAATCCAGACGGTTAGAGGTTTAAAGAGAAATCCTTCTAGTTTATCGTTTGTCTCACTTATTTTATATTTGGTTGTATTGCTTTCTGCCACGCCTGACTTGTAACACGAGTGCATTGTTTATGACACAAATCGATTGGCGTCCACTTATCTGACGTTCATTGTTTAAAAATGAACGAAATCACAACACTTGTTTTTGCATTGTGAACGAAGAATATATTTTAACCTCATCGACGCTCGCAATATTCCTTGTTTTTAATACTGACAGCAAATTTGCAAACCGCCTGCCTGGTAACATGAGCAGTGAAGAATGCTCATCTTCACTGGTGACCCTGAGCCAGCAGTGGAAATTCCACATTACCATCGAAGAGACCAGTCTCTGCCTAAACTGGTATTGACTCGCCACAATGTGGTACCGACTTGGTCAGCCTCTGGGATTTAAACTCGGAACCTTCCGGTTGCATTCAAAACGCTGCAATTCGCGTGTGGAATAGGCAGATATTGTTATTTTTTTAACGCACATTTGGTATCGTTACATTTAACGGGGTTCTTTGTCTTGGGCTGTCCACGCCGCTTCGGATGACCTGGGTTAGCGCCGTAAATTATTCACCGGGGCCCCGTGTGCAAGAAATCATCGCCCCATTCATTGCCGTTGCCCCCAGTGTTTAAATGACAGATTCCAATCAATAGTCGACATCTGCCACCCTGTCGGTCGGCAGCGAGAGCGTCACCGCTCGCTCGCGCCGAGATGCAAACACGCGCACAAAGACGATACCGGGGCCGTGCGTGCGGGGAAATGAAATTAGAACGGGCAAATACGGACGCGGATTTGTGTCAACACGAGGCCACGCTCGCTCGCACGCAAGGAAATTGGGCTGGTGCCGCTCACAAACACAGCCATTGCTCAGTCTAACACCGAGTAGGCTTTCGCGACCAACATTGTCCATAATAGAGGTTTTTGGGTTAGATCGCGTAAATATAAATGTGTCGTTAAACCCGCCACCACCCGACGCGGCCGATTAGTCAGGTTTGTCACGGAAAGCATGGAGAGCAAACCCACAACATTTACAAATCGGGTACGACATTTCGCCTGTAATTAAAACTAGCACCATCAGCCATCGCTATGTTTGTAATACAGCGAGCTGCCAACATTGTACCATCCATGTAATTGCAACTCCCGTCGACCAAAGACAGATTGCTCTCTTTATTGTACGCACGTTGGACTCCTTTCGCACCGCACGTAGCCAACCGTGGTAATCAGAGGTGCGGACAGGTCCTGTTCGCAAGCACCTATTGAGGTTCGTAAGGAACGTGACTGGATTGGTGTGAGCAGCATCATACCCCACCGCCTTCGTTTCTACATTGCTCTGCTTGATTCGTTGATGTTTGTCCACATGTGGCAAAGACAAAATATCCCCGTGTAGCTTGAACAGGCTGTTGGGGCAAGTGTTGTTCGCGAGCACCTATGAAGACCGACACGGCACATAAGGGGGTGGGTGGCCAGCACCACACCCGACCGCTTTTGTCTCCCTTGTGGCGATGTGTCTGTGTGTGTGTGTGTGCATGTGGGGAGCGGTAGTGCAGCGGTTAGTGCTACGCTGCGCTACGAACCCGGTGACCCAAGTTCGATTCCCGCTCATGGCCAACACCGGTGACAATCATTTGAACCGGTCCTTACCCTCCCCTAGGTCGACTCAGCCTTAAATCAGTACCTGCTGTAGTGTGTAAACATCGCCACTGGGGAGACAAAGACGGCTGGGCGTGGTGCTGGCCACCCACCCCCTCGTGTACCATTCCAGCTTTCACAGGTGCTGCTCGCTAACAGCACTTGCCCCAACAGTCTGTTAAGGCGACACGGGGAATCTTTGTCTTTGTGCGTGCATGCACAGATCTACGCCCCCACCCCACCTCACACAGCACCCCCGGTATCACCAATTAAATACTCTCCATTCCACGATACATTTCAATTGTTGCATTTGACGAGGCGCCCGTCCCGTTTTGCAATTGTGTTTGCGCGCCTTGCGTGAGGCGTTCTGTGTACCCGCAGCAGTGAGGGGCCGATTCCGATGTCTGCTACCTCTCCTTATTTGCATAATGCCGTTCCTGGGAAGCGTAAAAATTGGCCATTGTGCTCGCAGCCCCAGGGGGTCGGCGCGGGGGAAAAAGTGCAGATTGTGCAGGTGACCTTTGCGCGCCCGTTGGCATTTTAGTGTCAAATTTGGCAGTGCGTTTTTGCTGACTGCCGCTGTATTTCGCTCACCGCAGAGGCTCCGAGTGAAAGATTAAATAAATAAATAAATGTGAAATTGATGGGGGTTGACTCCCGTGAAGATTCTGGGAGTAATGAGGCATACATGTCCACCCCGCGCGCGTTTTACGGAGACGTTAACGTTTAATAATTGCTCAATTTTATCCGTGGCCGGAGACTTAACCACATTCCGTGCCACTTAGCAATGGGCCGTGCATTTCAATCTGCACAGATGATCGTATTGGAATACTGTTAACCATCCCACGGTTTCTTTATATATCAGCAGTTATTGATTGTTTTAAATGAAGGATTTCGCTGGTGAATATTAACGATCGTGGCTCGCATTGTTCTCTTCGCGAATAACAGGAACTGAAATGAGTGCCCTCTCGTCAGCGCAGTGAAATGAGCGGGAGTGTTTCGCGTGATTCTTAGCGATGGTTATTACTACTCCCATTACTTATATTTGTTGTGCTCTCGTCGCGGTCAACAGGGCTGAGAGGCCGCACTGAGGAGGGGGGTTGACGGCTGTGATCGCTGACGACATCCCCACAAAGCCGTGTCGCCCGTGGTCGTTCAGGAATATTCCTTCTGGTGTCAAAGCATTTCCTCTCTTCGACGTGCGCGCGAGTGCATGCGCGCGCGTTCCATTAACACGCCAGCGGCGGCGACTCTCGCCATGATGCACTGTGCAAAATGGGGGGGGGGGGGTGGGGGGGGTCCACGCCGTTCTTAGGAACCCGTCTCATCGAGGCAGGGAGCGTTCGCACGGTTTTCTTTTTGCAGACGGACGGCAAATCTCTGCGGGGAGGTCGGTTTCACCGAGTCGGGTTTTACCGCCGGATTCGTGGGCAGGTTGAACGGTCGCTCCTCCGTTTTTGCTCGGATGTTCTCGCCCGCTGTTTAATCGCATCCTTCTATGTGCCCGCATGGGCTCGGTTTTTCTATTTAGGCCTCTTACATTCCAGACGCACAGCTGTAGCGTGGTTCGTAACTTGTAATCAGACCTCTGTTCCACTCACGCACACAGCTAACATATATTTTTCATACCACTATTTATCCAGCTACGTTTGTTTAGTCAAGCGAACGCTCGATTGCTTTCGACCTTTTGGATGTCATCAGCAGAGTTCGCGGCTTGTTAAATTCAACCCTGCCGGGTTGCCAGATGTTATTGGCGAGAGTGCTCCGACCTAAACGACAGGGGTCCACCGTTCAGCGCAAAAAATAGCAATTTTGCCGTGCGCGAAATTCATTAAGCGTCGACGCGGAATAATCTCGGTATATCGTGCACGCACCGTACCAGCGAACCCTGCGTCCCACGCGCGTCCCTCCCACGTGAAATCTCCACTCGGGCATTGAACGCCCAGTCGCCGCGCTGTCGCGTGCCGAAGTTGATTTTAAATGCCGCTTTGGCGACAGCCGACGACGTTTCGTCTTCACGCAGCGCGCTTGCGCCGAGAAACTCGCCAGTTGGTCCGCCCGACGCCGTCTCGGTGCCGTCGTGCCCGAAGAACGAGTCGCACGGTTTGCGAGTCTGCCACTGCAGCGCTAAACAATTATTTTCCCTTTTTATTCGATCGTGCTATTGCACGATGCAAGCGTTGCAGACTATCCAATTAACAGGAGCATGACGCAGAATCGATTATCTCCCTATCCGCATGCCCCTAACATTAGCTGAGGCAGCTGCTCGTGGTGTAGATGACGAATGACGGCAGTCAGCCAAGCGTGTAGACTGGACATGCATTGATCCCTCGATTTTAAATCGACGCTTACGGCAATATAACTGCATCGGATTGTGAGTGTAAGAATCAGTTATTTACTTTATATGTAAACAATTAGAATATAAGATGCCAATGTTACATTAAAGCTTTTGTGGAGTGAGCAAAGCCGTACAGACGAGACAGAACGAGATAGGGGGACGGGGGGGGACGGGACAGAATAATTAATTCTTGAATCCTGACCCCAAATTGTGACGAGTCGTCGAATCACTGGGAAGGTCAAATTGTCACAGTCGGGGATTGACGCAGGTGCCCAAAGCCCCAACGTGTCAAGCGCTCAGCAACGAAGAGCACTCAACAAAGATGTCATGGATAAGAGTGTAACAAGTCTTTTGTATTGAGCAAAGTCTTATTAAGGGCTTGGGAAAAAAGAAGATGGGAGAGAATTCCAAAGTGGAGCAAAGCAAGGCAAGAGAAGTGTCGTGGCCTGCAGTGCGGTTCTGCACTCTGCCCCAACTCAAAAATGTTGTTTTTGCGTGATTTGTTTTCCTATACTTTGGATTCCTATCGTGTTTTTGTTTTGTTTGTTATTGTCATGTTCTGACCCACCCCGACTGGACATCTGTGAAAAAAAGCTTCATAGCTCATCGATTTCCTCCAGTATTAATAAAGATTCTCATTCTGAAATCAGGTGTGGAGTGCAGGTGCAGTGTTCACCGATCTCCTAGTTTAATCCTCCTGTCATCCTCTCCCTGTGTGTGCGTCTCTCTCCGTCTCTAAGCAGAGGAGATGGAGGGCATTCCCGTGAAGCAGTTTCCCCGACACGTCGCCCGTCTCTACGCCGATGGCCAGCGCGGCTTCGCGCAGGAGTTCGAGGTACGGCCGCAGACGGCCCGCGCCAGGCGCCAGCGTCGCCAGGCCGCGGGCGCCTTGTCCGCCTCTTCGGCGAGCGAGCGGTTCGCGACGGGTCAACGAACCCAGAGAGTTCATTGACGCGACGAGGCCTCCGCAGGCGGGCCCGGAAACGGCCTCTGTGGCTGCCGCCCGTGGCCCTTCGGCAGAGACGGCACGAAGCGCCGCAATGAGTCAGCGCGAGTAACGGGGTGGGAGCGGCGGCGCCGTGGCTAACAAATAAAAAACCTGGCCCCACCTGCGTTTGATATCCGGGCCAGGGCTAACGACGGCAGTGGCGAGCGATGTCTGACCGGCGGGGAGCTTCCGCGACGGGGTTCAAGCGAAGCGTCGGTCGACGCGACGCCGAGCGGCGCGCGAACCGCGAACGCGTCGGCGGAGAGCCGCAACGGCCGGGCGCTCCTCTCCTCAATGGCACCGCGTGCCGCCCCCTCTGTGCAGGAGATACAGAGGAGCACTATGGGGAATGGCGTGACGGCCGATCAGACCAACCACCCGGAGAACAAGAGCAAGAACCGCTACATCAACATTGTGGCGTGTGAGTGTCGGAGCGCGCCCGCCCCGCGTCGCTCACGCCATCGCGCCAAGCGCTTTGGCTCTTCTCACCTCCCCGAGAAGGTGGCAGTGCCGATGCGGATGTGGCGTTCTCGCCAATTAATAGGTGGCAGCATCGGGCTCGGGAAACCGGGCTCGGTTATTAAAAGGTGCCAGTGTGGAATTTCAGTTTTGGTCCACGGCAGAGAAACAAACTGGAAAGCCGGTCTATTAGGGGAGGGAGAGGCTGGAAATGTTGCGCGCGAAGACGTGTACACACGAGTTGGGCACGTGCCGTTGCAGCACTCATACAGGGCGCGCTTGTCAATGGGGCCATCCCTGTCTCTCTTGACTTCTCGCCTTGGTTAAAGAATATCAAAATTGTCATTTTCATATTTACGTGTTTTTTTACATCATGAATATTATTATTATAAATAGTCTTACCCAATGTCTATACAGTTGTAGGGATTGGCATCGGCTTTGTCCGTCTGGTCCACAACTTCGTCTCTCCACAGACGACCACTCGAGGGTGAGGCTGAGAGTGCTTTCTGGAAAAGACTCCAAGCATAGCGATTACATCAACGCCAACTACATCGAAGTAAGTTGCACGAATGCACGTACGTATGTTGAACTTCTTTCGCACCGCACGTAGCCAACCGCGCTAATCGGAGGTGCGGGGGAAGGACGACAAACTAACAGGCACAAAGCAGTTTGCAAAAAATTAGTTCTCAATCGAGTTGCGCGTAAGTCACCGTTCTTTCAGTTTCAGTTTATTTCAGTTTTCAGTATCAGTTTATTTTGGTATAGCCCTGTGAGCCATTCGGCTCTTGAATCGGGTACAACCACAACAAACAAAAAAACAAAAAACACGAACAAGACAACATCTTAAAGTGACTATGTGTGACTGTGCAAACAGAAAATCCATGAAAAAAACAGCAAAATATTCCTGAATAAAGCACCGTACACCAACGCTGTGTGCAAACAATCCCAGTGGGATGCAAGTCAAACAACAACAACCACAATAAAACTTAGATTAAGGCCATCAGTCTAACTCCGTACTACTGGAGAAGTCAGCCATGGTGTTGTGTCCACTTTGTGGTCGGTGTCAGTCAAAGTTTTTATTTTCCCGGTCGTTTTACTCTCTCTTGGATTTGACATTCCCAGAACGGGTTGTCCTGCACATTCGTGCGACTTAAAAACAATGTTTTTTTTCGTGATTTATTTACCTTTCCTCTACTTTGCACTCCTATCGTGTTTCTCTATTGTTCGTTGTTGTCATTTTATTACCCGCCCCGACTGGACATCTGTCACAAAAGAGCTTTGTAGCTCATCGGATTTCTCCAGGATAAGTTTATATTCTGATCCGATTGTGATTATTGTTTTGCCTGTTTTTACTTCATGGCTCTACGTTTGTGTTTGTCTTTTTTGCTCCGATATTGTTCCATCTGTGTTCCCGCGTTGAGGCGTCCGCTAAGATATCCCGTGGAAGAGTGCGTCGCCCCGTGTGAGAGAACGGCCCACAGAAGCGGATATCACAGAATTACTTCTGAGATCCCTTCAAGTAACCTTTTTATCCGTATGCCCCGCTACGGAAAAGTGTTTGTCGAATGGCGAAGTGATATTTTTTCATCCATCGAGCTGAGATTTGCCAAATGAAAAGGAAAACCGCATTTGTTATGATGGGTTTTTCATGTTACCAGTGACGATTGGGCTCAGACCGTCAACACAATACCCTGGAGAACCCGTTTTAATGAAGGATGGATGCTTGGGGTAAACCCACAATTTCTGAACTTGACCGTAGCTTCCTTTCGGTTAACGCAGCCTTATTTGAATAATAATGCAGCGAGTAAATATCAGCACTGGGGAGACAAAGGCGGCCAGTAATGGTAGTGGCCACTCATCCCCTCGTGTGATGCCCCGGCCTTCATAGGTGCTCACAAACTGCACTTGCCCCAAAAGTCTGTTAAGGCTACACGAGGGGGGGGGGGGGGTATCTTTGCCTTTGTCTCGTATGCGCGCCTGCATTTCATTTCATTTCCCAAGATTACGCGCCCAATCTTCTCCCACTGACACGTTGGCAGGGTTACAACAAACCTCGAGCCTACATAGCCACCCAGGGGCCCCTCAAGGGCACGTTCGAGGACTTCTGGAGAATGGTGTGGGAGCAGAACGTGCGCGTGGTGGTGATGATCACCAACCTCGTGGAGAAAGGACGGGTAAGCGGACTGACGTGAGACGCGCGCGTCGCTGCACGCGACTCCGTGGCCGCGCGTTGCTCGAATTTGCCGCCGGGGGGTTGCGAGCCTCCCGGCGCGTGCGGTGCGATTGTTCTACGCGGCCGTCGTGAACGTGCCAGCGACACGAGAGCGGTCGTTAGCGGAGCGCCGATCAAATAAAGCGATGGATTAATTCTGCCCTCTTCACTTTGTTAACGGGTTTATTGATGGGGTTTTTTTTTTGTATCATGCGGCCGAAATTTATCTCCCAAACACTGTGCTCACGCGAGCGGTACGTAACAATAATGACTGGAATACTTTACAAACATTTTACTTTTGAATGTGTAATGATAATTACAAAAAAAAGTGTTTTAATAGCAAGCAGCAATTGCAGTCGTTGATGTTTATTAAGGATGTTATAGGGCCGATGTTGTAAAGTGTCATGAAATTGGCACCGTTATGGATCAGCTTGCAGGATAGCGCTAACACCTGGGTGTCTAAACACATTTTTTGTCAAGATATTACATGGCGCAAGACACCCCTGCTTCGTATAAATGAAGTTGAAAATTGCACTTCATACTATCGCAAATGCTCATTCATTGAAACGGCAGCTTCCTTTCCGGTTCGTAGGGACATTTTAGTTCATGGCAAACGTGGTGCAATATTTGGAGCTCGTATCTAATTTTGCAGTCTCGGAAAAAAATTGGCAGACTCTTTTGTTTATTTACTCAATTTTATCCGGATTGCAGTTTCAGTGTCGTGGCACGCAAACAATTCGGATCTCCCCCGCACAGCAGTGCGACCCTTGCTCATGTTAGAGAACGGCCCACAGAAGCGGACAGCACAGAGCTACCGCTGAGATCCCTTCTTCGTGTGACCTCTGGTCCAGTCCACACAGTTAGTGACGTTCGTCGAAGGATGGTGACACCCGGTGTGCTTGTTTTATTCACGCAGCTGGTTTTGTAGCAGCCAATTTTACTTTACAATTCGAATTTTAGTTTTTGTTCCACCACACAATCCACACCCACCAGGGTGTAAAACTACACCGTACTTTACAATGCACGTAAGGTCGTAATTTTCCCACAGTGCATTTCAGTATTATCCAGGTGGCTCAGCGGTAGAGCGAGCCGCTCGCAATTTTGCGTTTGTGGCTTCAAATCCAGCTCAGGGGGATTTTACTCGGCCCATCATCCCTCTGGGGGTTGATAAAGTGAGTACCGCTCCGTGGGGAAGTCAACAGCGTTCATCCTATGGATAGACCCACCCCGCCCTCCCGTCCCTGCCATATCAATGTGGAATTTCCACCGCTGGCTCAGGAGGGCTGTACGTGGGAGATGCGATGTTTTTAGTCTCGGGGGGGGGGGGGGGCCTCGTGCCCAGAGAGCGTTTCAGAGCAATGTGCCCTGCGTGGCGGTGTTTGTTTGTTTCCGTGCGTTCTGTGACTTGCTCATCAATTCACATTCGGCTTGGCTTTTAGGTAACTGGAAACGAACACAATGTTTACCACATGAAGGGTTCCTACGTCGATTTGCAGGACAGTCTGGTAAATATGACAACGCTACCGTTCAAGCTCCCTATCTGCATAATTCATGGTGTTTTTTAAAACAAATTAATATCTTTCTTAATTGCTACATTAAACACGAAACTTACCCCTTCGTTTCCTTAACAGTCATGTAACAACAAAGCGCATCGTCTGCGAGTGGGGTTCTCTGTCTTTTCTCACTCTTGGGGAGCAATAATTCGGTTCTTCTCGGGCGGAGAAGCGTTTGTGGTGAAGAAGGGGTGATGGAGGTGCAAGTGGGACGGTAATATGAATCGTTCAAAAAAAACCTCCCTGCATTTAAAGTTTATGGTACGCTCCACCTGCTCCAAATCCCTTTGGGAAAATCTTTTGAATCACGAGTGGACTGGCAGAGGGTGGAGCATTCCATCCTTACCCAGGGGGGTGTCGTTCTCGATGCCGTCACCGCCAACTCGCGGGTGCATCGCTGTGTCCGGTGAACGGTTCTGCCGTTTGGCATTTGCTTTGAAACGAACGGCCAGCATTAAAGGGACACTGCTTCACGAATGCACTTGCACACTCGCGGTCCTTATAATAATTACTCATCGATGAATAACTACGTATATCTTTTGCCCAAATGAATAATACGCCATTAGTTATTATGTTTTATACGTACCTCATGTTTTCCGGATTTTAAAGCCGCATTGGCAACATTGCGCCCGTATCAACCTTTGCCAGTAATCCCACAAAGGTTGACCTGGCCACAAAATCATATCAACGGATTGTTCTAGCAGCAGAAATTTCACCGCAAAGCTCCCGCGTGTAATGCATTCCAGTATCCCTTTAGGGAGGTGTTCTTATGGAGTGGGCGAGTGTGCGTATTTCTGGTGTGTGTAGAGTCCTCTCTAACATCACCACTTTCACAACTGTCGCTTTACCGGTACTAATTTTTGACAACACGAACTGTACGATTCATGCGGATGCCGTTGGTGCCGAACACAACTGAAACAATGCACAGTTGAGTGCTCTTTGAATGAAATGTTTGAAACGTGCGTCAATACTCATGACGATCTGCCTTGGGGCAGAGCGGCCTTTGCTCCAGCCGGTGTGAGATCAGCGTTGCCACACGTGACGTAATTTGTACGTAGGGCACCACATTTCAGATGCGATGTCAAAACTGCAAAGTGGTCTGTTTAGATTATTTTAAAAGCTCGCGTGATTTCATACCGTTGTCCCTAATACCTATTTGCCTGGATATATGACCCTAAGGTACACCACATTCATGCCGTGCTGTTGGTGCCAATCTTTCGTCAAATTCCAAGTCCGTCAATCAACCTTTAGTTATTGAAACAAATTATCTGGTGCTGCTGCTGCTGCTGCGTTGGCAGTGATGCCAAAGCACAATTAACACTTTGTGGCCTAACAGCGAAAAAAATATATAATTGGGGACATTTCGGTCCATTGCCATTTTTGATTATCATTTATATTGCGCAATTAACACGAATAATCCTGACTCGGAGCGCTTTACGCAAGAAATTAAATAAACCCTAGGCGAGACATGTTGAGCAAGGTAAGGAGATATTTTGTCACGGTGGCGTCTCAGTTTTCTCGCCCTCACTGGGTGCACATAGACCCAGACCCCCAGTGTGGATGGACAGGGGAGCAGAGTGAACAGGCTATGAGACGACTTAGTCACACCACTGCTGGCAGAAGGATCTCCACTCGGGGGAGCTCTAGAGAGCACCCCCCCCCCCCCCCCCCCCCCCCCCCGAGGGTATTTGGCTGAATCCTCCACACTGATCGGACGCCGTTGACAGATGGGAGTAAGGAACTCGTACCGCTTTGTACAGCTCCTATCTCCAATACGACCCAAAGGGCCAGCACATTCCGGATTCCAGTTGGCAGAATTGTCTGAGAACGATCAGGCTGACGATTACTCCGATCTCTTCGTCACAGTCGAAGCGTCTCCCGTGTGAGTTGAAAGGCTGCCGAGACCCGGTCTGTGGTCATGAGTATTCATGTTCATCGCCGTGCTACGAGTGTGTTCGGTATCAATGCGGCTTTTTAGAAAACATAACTCTTAACGAAACAGCTACAAACCTTACAATGTTATAATCTTACACAGTCTTTCAAAATTGAGGTAATTGGAATTTCGCTTTTCTTTCTAATTTTAAACGGTTTATTATATTCTAAACTTACATGCCACGTCGTATTGGCGTACTGACCTCTGCCATGGCAATGTGGAATTTCCATCACTGGCACAGGGCTGCCGACAGAGATGAGCAGAGCCCCGTTCCTCATTTGAGTAGAAGTTTTAGACACGTAGCGTGATCAAGAAAGATGGTCATGCATCACCATTGTTGCTGTCAAAATAGTCTGTCTGTTATTGATTCAACTCGGAGCTTGGGCGATAATGATTGGTGGCGCCTGACCACCTGACAGCTGACTCCCAGCTCGTGAGTGGCTCCTCGGCGTTTGTGAGTTGAAATTTGCGATGAACGACGCCGCTATATACAACGGAACATTGTTACTGTTAACGTACACAAAATTGATTTTCACATCTGTTTCGACGACAAACTGCAAAGTTTAATATCTAAGAAAAACAAGGGGTCCTCAGTACAATGTTAAGGGGAAATACTGATTGGTAATTGCAAGATAGTTCCATTTTCCAGAGCAGAATTACTTGTTCAGTAGTACCCGTGTTTTTAAATTGGCTCATAGAAGTGCATTATTACGTGATAACGTACTTATAAAGTAATGTAATTGCATCATTAACTTGTAATTGTTGTTAAGACGTTTGTACAGCTCAAGTGCTGCCACCTCAGATGGTACCAACTTGTCAATTATTTGGCCTGGGCCCATCGACAAAGGCTCTAACATATTGCCTACATAAAAAAAAACTGTTATATGTTAGCGTTGTAATTGCCATGATTTTGAAAGACTGCTTGAAAAGATTAATATTTTTTTAACATTCTTAATTGCTGGCAAAAGAAATACAGGCAAAGTGCAAAGTATGACAAAAAAAAACTTAAAAGGGGGTAAAAATAAAATCATTCACATTCATCAAGCATCGTGATTTAATTTGATCGCTGTCAATTTATTTATCTTTTAAAAGATTTGTATTTCAACGATGCGTCTACGCACGCCGTGTGCTGTAATTTAAAGATGTGAGAATATCCTGTGACACGTCGTGAGTACATTACGATTTTCTCCCGATGGTTATTTTTGTAAAGGCTAATACGCGTGTTCAATTTGCAAAAGGCGAGAATGGAACGGCTATGCTTTGGCCGTGAGCCTCATAGCAAAGTTGTTTTGAAAAAAAAAATGAAACCCTCGTGAAATATTTCGCCTGATAGCGTGCACTAAAAACAAACCCTCCTTGTATTTCTTTTGCAAGCAACTAATACATGTGAAACGCACGCATAAACCATACAGGTATATGATTTTGCGTGTGTTTGTCCCGTGTGTGTGTGTGTGTGTGCGCGTGTAAACATTTTTAAACATTAGTTTTTAAACATAAGAATTTTGATGTTCAACTTTAAAGCAAAAAAATGTATTAATACTAGTCTCAAGTACTAATATGAAGTTTTGTATGAAACATTTAAAAGATGTAGCAATGTATTTCTGCCGACTTGTGGGATCCCACCGCTGTTTGATCTTCGCCGTGGCTTGCCGTGAGTTCCAGCCAGGGGTTCAGAGTTCCAGCCAGGGGTTCAGAGTTCCAGCCAGGGGTTCAGTGTCGTCCGTTCCGTGTATTCTTCAGCGCGAGCAGCAGCGTGGTAAAGGTTTATTTTGGGTCAGATCGCGTAAATACAAATGTGTCGTTCACCCACCGCCACCCGACACGGCCAATTAGCAAGGTTTGTCACGTGAACAAAACGTGCCAATTGGCTACTACTTCAGCACGTCGGTGTGATGGCGAGTAAGCCCACATCATTTACAGTCGAGTACGACGTTTCCCTGGCGATTACGACCAGCTTCATCAGGCGATTCACCCGAATTGCTCAACTTGCAAGTGAAGGAAGCTTCGGGGTTCGCTTCTGAGCTCTGCGTTCGGCACGACGGCCCACGCCTGCCACCTCGCCATCGGGAGGCAGGAGCTGGGTGGGTCATGCTCGAATCACGTGGGTGGACGATTGCACGTGATCGTGGAGAAGCCAGCAAGGTCTCCTGTAGGAGGGCAGTAGTACGGCAACGAGGGTGCTGACATATCTGCGGGGAATTTGATGGTTGCCCTGCTCCGGCGCTCTGGGTATTTCTTTGGGCGGTCCGAGTTTTGCCTCCCCCACGAAGTGGGTGTTGTAGATCGCTTACATCCGCTCATGGGTGAGGAGACTTCCCCACGATTTTCAGTCGTGCTGTTTGTTTCACCGTACTGCAACCCATGCCAGTCAGTGCCAAGTTGTTAAAGGGGAGGGGGGTTGCCGAGGAAAGCTTCAGATATGCGATGTTGGCCGTGGCCCGGAATCTGATGTTGGGTCACCAGTTCCATAGCGCATCGTGCGGAGGAATCCGACGAGCTACAAAGCTCTTATTCACTGATGTCCAGCAGGGGCACGGGGTCAGAACGTAGATTGGCCAAGCGACCCCAAGCAGGGGGGCCCCTCTGCTATTAAGTCAAAGGGACTCCGCGGGGGTCTTCTTGCGCTTCAGGAAACAAATGAAAGCCACGGGTGCGTCTGTTTAAACGAGAATGCCCCGGGGGACTACACTGAACACCCGAACTCGATCGGAACGCGTGCCACCGTCAGCTGGGACCGTCGCTTGGGCAGCGTCGAGATCGGCCAGGAGGTCGGGCGGCAGCGGTAGAAGCGGCGGCGGCGGTGAAGGTGAAGGTGCCTTACCCGCTGGGGGTTCACCACCGCCACCACCGCCGCGGGAAACAAACCCTGCCCGTCGTCACCGCGCCGTCCTCTCGTTGTAGCGGAAGTGCGACCAGTACTGGCCGTCGGACGGCAGCAGCGAGGAGTACGGCGGCGTCCTTGTCTCGCTCAAGAGCTCCAAGACGCTCGCCTTCTACACCGTGCGGCGCTTCGCGCTGCGCAACACCAAGCAGCGGCGGGTAACGCGGCGGCGGCGGCCAGCTCGGTGCACGTGTCTCCTTTGTGCACGCGTGTGTGCGTGTGTGTACGTGTGCGTGTGTGTGTGCGTGTGTGTGCGCGTGTGTGTGTGTGTGCGTGTGTGCGTGTGTGTGTGTCTGTGTGTGTGTGCGTGTGTGTGTGCGTGTCTTCTTTGTGCGCGCGTGTGTGTGCGTGTGTGTGTGCGTGTGTGTCTGTGTGTGTGTGCGTGTGTGTGCGTGTCTTCTTTGTGCGCGCGTGTGTGTGCGTGTGTGTGCGTGTGTGTGTGTGTGCGTGTGTGCGTGTGTGTCTTCTTTGTGCACGCGTGTGTGTGCGTGTGTGCGTGCGTGTGTGTGTGTGTCTTCTTTGTGCATGCGTGTGTGTGTGTGTGCATCCACACAACATCATGGATGCATGTTGGGTTCAAGCAAGAACATCTGCTGGACTACATAGTGACGGACCAGCGGGTGCGAGCCCATGTCCTTGACACCAGGACCTACCGTGGAGCTGATCTGCCCTCTGACCATCGACTAGTCATCTGTAAGATGCGCCTGTCATTCTTCCACTCTGGTGGTGGGTGTACACCCAGGACCCCATTCCAACCTAAAGTGGCCTGGTCTCAGTTATCTGATGAAAGTTGCAAACGAAAATTTCATCATCACTTGCGGCTGGGGTTGGCATCGTCCCCCATTCCTCCTGATGTCGAGAGTTAATGGGCGAGGTTTAGGACTGTGACTCATGCAGCTGCAATGGCTGCTTTGGGTACATGGTCCAGACCTCCCCAGAGACGCTGGCTGACAGAGGAGGTGTTCAGGATGGTTGAGAAAAAGCGACAGGCCCACTGTCATCGGCTACAGAATCCCACGTCAGAGAATAAGGAGGCTTACCGCAGCCTTCGCTCGGAGGTTCGGAGAGCCGTGAGGCGCTGCAAGGATGGGTGGTGGTCGCGGGTTGCTGAGGAGATGGAGTCTGCCTCAGTGGCCCGCGATCACAAATCTCTATTTAACTCCATCAAAAAAGTAACCTGCAGCACCACACCTATTACCATCATTAGGGGAAAAAACGGTGATCCAATCTCCGACCCCCAGGAACAGGTTTGCAGATTTGCTGAGCATTTCCGTGAGGTCCTGGGGGAGGGGACATTCCTCAGCCAGGAAAACATCGTGGCGCAAAGTGGGGATGACCCTGCTGAGGCTGCAGTGCCTCAAATATTGGAAGAAGTCACCCGCTGTGAGTGGCTGGCTGAGGTGCCATCTGTTGAGGAAGTACTGAAGGTGATCTGGAGTCTGAGACCAAGAAAGGCACCGGGTAGAGATGATCTCCCAAGCGAAATGCTGAGGGAGGGTGGCGTTTGTGCAGACTGCCCTATATGACATAATAACATGATTGGAAAGATGCCCTGGTGGTCCCCCTCTTTAAGAAGGGGGACCGCACAGACTTTGACAACTATAGGGGCATCTCACTCCTCAGTGTGCCGGGAAAGGTCCTGGCAAGGATTATTCAACATCGCCTTGCCAGACACGCTGAGAAGAGGCTTGCGGAGCCCCAATGCGGTTTCAGGAAAGGGCGGTCCTGCACAGATGCCATATTTTCTGTCCGTCTGCTACAGCAGAGGTGTAGGGAATTCCAACAAGACCTACATCTCTGCTTTATTGACCTGGTCAAGGCCTATGATACCATCAGTAGGCCTGGGCTCTGGGTTGTTCGTCGTGCTTTTGGAGTCCCTGACCCTCTACTCACGATCATTAAGGACCTTCATGATGGTGAGCGGGCCCGGGTAAAACTATGTCGCCGGGAGTCAGAGCCATTCCCTGTACACCTTGGGGTACGACAGGGATGTCCTCTGGCTCCCACATTATTTAACATCTATTTTGACCACGTAGTTCGTGAAGCCTTCAATAGCTGTATCGGAGGGATCTCCATTTGGTACAGATATAATGGGAGGCTGATCGATGCCCGGGTGCGGTCAAGGGATGGCTCCCTATTACTCAACCACGTTATGTATGCCGATGATTTGGTAATAGCTGCTCATTCAGAGGAGGAGTTGGAGACGCTGCTGCTGAGACTGGAGCGTGCCACTAAGAGATGGGGCCTTACCATCAGCCCCACCAAAACTAAGCACCTGCCTGGGTATTTTGTACCATCGGATACTCCACCCCAACAATTCCCAATCGGTGATGGGGCAGTTGTGGAGAGAGTGGAGAGTTTCCCATACCTGGGCACTGTGCTTATTACCGGCTCCAGTTTAACAGCAGAGGTCTCACTCCGAATCAGTCGAGCGGCAATATCTTTTCATCGGTTGCGTAACGCTGTGGGGAAGCTACCTGGTCTGTCGCTCCGCACTAAGCTTCAGGTCTTCTCGGCCACGGTCATTCCCTCCCTTCTCTACGCTTGCGAAACGTGGACTCCCCTAATGGAACATCTTCGCTGGTTAGAAACATTTAGGCTAGCCTGCCTACGATTTGTCCTGGGTTTAACCAGGCTGGATTGTGTGAGGAGCTCACAAATCTTTGAAAGATCTGGGCAAGGTCCCATCGGTGAGCTCCTCCAGCAGGCAAGGCTGCGTTGGCTGGGTCATGTAGCCCGCATGCCCAGCCACCGCATGCTTTTGTTCGGCCGGATCGAGGGGGCTAAACGGACGTGGCACGCGCTAGAGAAGAGATGGAGTGATGTGGTACAGGAGGACGTGGAGCTGAGTGGACTTGCCGATGACTGGTACCAGCGGTGTCAAGATCGGCCTCTGTGGAGGAGGCTCGTGAAATACGCTACTGGGCAGTTGGAGGCAGTCGCCCTCCAACAACAACGGAGGGCGGAGGAGCGACACTTACAACAATGAGCGGAGCACCGGGTGGCTAAAGCACAGCAGGTTGGCACAGTAGGGGGCACAGGTGGTGCATCAGCCAGTCATCTCAGTCAGTCGACCCATGGCACTTGGGTCTGCCCGGTGACCTCCTGCCAGCGGGCGTTCGACACTTCACGTGGCCTTAAGGTGCACATGGCCTGGCACAAGCGTCGTGGTGACGTCCCCGCCACTTAGTGGCGAATGGCGGTTGTTGTTGTTGTGTGTGCGTGTGTGCGCGTGTGTGTGTGTCTTCTTTGTGCGCGGGTGTTGCGTGTGTGCGTGTGCGCGCGTGATGAGGAGCGGTGGTGTAGCGGTTAGCGCTACACTACGAACCTGGCGACCCGGGTTGGATTCCCGCTCACGGCCAACACCGGTGACGGTTATCTGAACCGGTCCTGGGCCTCCTCCCCTAGGTTGACTCAGCCTCAAATGAGTACCCGGTTGCGCGTTGCGTAATAACGTCGCCACTGGGGAGACAAAGGCGGCCGGGCGTGGTTGCTGACCACCCAGCCCCCTCGTGTGTGCCGTGCCGGCCTTCATAGCTGCTGCTCGCCAACAGCACTTGCCACCAGTCTGCTAAGGCTACACGGGGGATCTTTGTCTTTGTGCGTGCGTGAGCAGAGCGGGCAGCGTGGCGGTGGCGAGCGCGTGCTGCTGCAGTACCACTACACGCAGTGGCCTGACATGGGCACCCCCGAGTACGCCTTGCCCCTGCTCACCTTCGTCAAGAAGTCGTCGGCCGCCCGGCTGCCCGACTCAGGCCCCGTGCTCGTGCACTGCAGGTGCCCCCCCCCCGCCCCCGGCAGAGACAGCGAGCGTGCGTGCGGGAGCCAACGCCCTGTGGCCTGTGATGTAACGAACTCCCCTCCCGTGGCCGTCAAGCAGGAGCCGTAGCCCTGGCTCGCCAGGGGAGTGCGGCACACCAAAAATGTGTATTGCACCCGTTCCATCTCTCTGGGATAGAGTGTTTCCCCCTCACAAACGCGGGCTTTCTCCAGTCACTCCGGTTGCCTCCAACACGTACGCACTCACTAATTGACCGATGACACCCCCATATGTAGAGCGACGCGGAGCTTGGTCAGTCGTTGGCTCCGGCTCATCGCGTGATTGCCTTGCCCGGTCATCTGTGGTTCCTTTTTGCCTCTGAGTTTCGCCCTCCCCTATCTCTCTCTGAGAGTGAGGAGCGAACACTGTGTGAGTTGAAATTCATTTCCATCGCCACCACTGCCACCATTACCACGGCCACTGCTACCACTGCCACCGCCATCGCCACTACTGCCACCACCGCCACCATCGCCACTACTGCCACCACTGCCACCATCGCCACTACTGCCACCACTGCCACCATCGCCACTACTGCCACCACCGCCACCATCGCCACTGCTGCCACCACCGCCACCATCGCCACTACTGCCACCACCGCCACCATCGCCACTATTGTCACCACCGCCACCATCGCCACTACTGCCACCACTGCCACCATCGCCACTACTGCCACCACTGCCACCATCGCCACTACTGCCACCACCGCCACCATCGCCACTGCTGCCACCACCGCCACCATCGCCACTATTGTCACCACCGCCACCATCGCCACTACTGCCACCACCGCCACCACCGCCACCATCGCCACTACTGCCACCACCGCCACTACTGCCACCACCGCCACCATCGCCGCGTGACTCATGTCTGCCCCCGTGCGGGTCTCGCTGTTGCAGTGCGGGCGTGGGGCGCACGGGGACCTACATCGTGCTCGACTCGATGCTGCAGCAGATCCGCGACAAGGGCTCCGTGAGCGTCATGGCCTTCCTGAAGCACATCCGCAACCAGCGCAACTACCTGGTGCAGACCGAGGTGGGCACGCGGACGGACACTCGGGGCGGCGTCGACGATGCCCTCGCGCCAGCAGCTCGCTGTGCCAATCCCTCGCTCCCTCCCTGGCTCCCTCCCTCGCTCCCTGGCTCCCTGACTCCCTCGCTCCCTCCCTGGCTCCCTCCCTCCCTCGCTCCCTCCCTGGCTCCCGAATTACGAAACTGTAGAAAGCAACAGCGGCGTTGCCCCCTTCTGCAAGACCTCTAATTCCCACTCGCAGACTCGTGCTGTGTGTTTATCTCGTGCTGTGTGTTTATCTCGTGCTGTGTGTTTATCTCGTGCTGTGTGTTTATCTCGTGTTGTGTGTTTATCTCGTGCTGTGTGTTTATCTCGTGCTGTGTGTTTATCTCGTGTTGTGTGTTTATCTCGTGTTGTGTGTTTATCTCGTGTTGTGTGTTTATCTCGTGTTGTGTGTTTATCTCGTGCTGTGTGTTTATCTCGTGTTGTGTGTTTATCTCGTGCTGTGTGTTTATCTCGTGTTGTGTGTTTATCTCGTGTTGTGTGTTTATCTCGTGCTGTGTGTTTATCTCGTGCTGTGTGTTTATCTCGTGCTGTGTGTTTATCTCGTGTTGTGTGTTTATCTCGTGTTGTGTGTTTATCTCGTGTTGTGTGTTTATCTCGTGCTGTGTGTTTATCTCGTGTTGTGTGTTTATCTCGTGCTGTGTGTTTATCTCGTGTTGTGTGTTTACCTAGTGTTGTGTTTATCTCGTGTTGTGTGTTTATCTCGTGTTGTGTGTTTATCTCGTGTTGTGTGTTTATCTCGTGCTGTGTTTATCTCGTGTTGTGTGTTTATCTCGTGTTGTGTGTTTATCTCGTGCTGTGTGTTTATCTCGTGTTGTGTGTTTATCTCGTGCTGTGTGTGTTATCTCGTGTTGTGTGTTTATCTCGTGCTGTGTTTATCTCGTGTTGTGTGTTTATCTCGTGCTGTGTGTTTATCTCGTGTTGTGTGTTTATCTCGTGTTGTGTGTTTATCTCGTGTTGTGTGTTTATCTCGTGCTGTGTGTTTATCTCGTGCTGTGTGTTTATCTCGTGTTGTGTGTTTATCTCGTGTTGTGTGTTTATCTCGTGTTGTGTGTTTATCTCGTGCTGTGTGTTTATCTCGTGTTGTGTGTTTATCTCGTGCTGTGTGTTTATCTCGTGTTGTGTGTTTACCTAGTGTTGTGTGTTTATCTCGTGTTGTGTGTTTATCTCGTGTTGTGTGTTTATCTCGTGTTGTGTGTTTATCTCGTGCTGTGTGTTTATCTCGTGTTGTGTGTTTATCTCGTGTTGTGTGTTTATCTCGTGTTGTGTGTTTATCTCGTGTTGTGTGTTTATCTCGTGCTGTGTGTTTATCTCGTGTTGTGTGTTTATCTCGTGTTGTGTGTTTATCTCGTGCTGTGTGTTTATCTCGTGTTGTGTGTTTATCTCGTGCTGTGTGTTTATCTCGTGCTGTGTGTTTATCTCGTGCTGTGTGTTTATCTCGTGCTGTGTGTTTACCTCGGATAAAGCTGCCATCAGGGGGTCCCCGATAGTAAACAAACCTGACCTCTTGTCATTGCTTCAATGTTGCTTCAATGTAAATGCAGGTTGTACGTACGTCTGAGGAACTTCTTTCGCACCGTATGTAGCCAGCCGTGCTAACGGGAGGTTTATTGTTGTTGTTTGTTGGGTTTGGCCGTGCAGGAGCAGTACGTGTTCATCCACGAGGCCCTACTGGAGGCCATCCAGGGCCGCGAGACGGAGGTGGCCTCCTCGAGCCTGCACGCCTACGTCAACGGAATCCTCACGCCGGGGCCCTCAGGACTCACCCGCGTCGAGAAGCACTTCAAGGTCTGCCGCCCGCGACAACTCTCGCGGCTCTCCCGTCGTTGCGTTCGTGCACTGCAGCGGGTTGCTTGGGCGCCGCGGTGGCTAGGAGATGTTAACTCCCTCGCCTGGTATACAGGAGGACGCGGGTTCGATCACGACCCTGACGCCTGCTGCTGTATATTTGGAGTTTTCATGTCTCTCTCTCATCATCATTATCATCACGGTGGCTAGGAGATGTTAACTCCCTCGCCTGGTATACAGGAGGACGCGGGTTCGATCACGACCCTGACCCCTGCTGCTGTATATTTGGAGTTTTCATGTCTCTCTCTCATCATCATTATCATCACGGTGGCTAGGAGATGTTAACTCCCTCGCCTGGTCTACAGGAGGATGCAGGTTCGATCGCAACCCTGACAGTGCCTGCTGTATATTTGAAGTTTTCATGTCTCTCTCTCATCATCATTATCATCACGGTGGCTAGGAGATGTTAACTCCCTCGCCTGGTCTACAGGAGGATGCGGGTTCGATCGCGACCCTGACAGTGCCTGCTGTATATTTTAAGTTTTCATGTCTCTCTCTCATCATCAGTATCATCACGGTGGCTAGGAGATGTTAACTACCTCGCCTGGTCTACAGGAGGACGTAGGTTCGATCGCGACCCTGACAATGCCTGCTGCTGTATATTTGAAGTTTTCATGTGTCTCTCTCATCATCAGTATCATCACGGTGGCTAGGAGATGTTAACTCCCTCGCCTGGTCTACAGGAGGACGCGGGTTCGATCGCGACCCTGACAATGCCTGCTGCTGTATATTTGAAGTTTTCATGTGTCTCTCTCTCTGTCTCCCCGTGGTCGCTTGGATTTTTCTCCGGGTCTTCCGGTTTTCTCTCCACATTAATAATCCAACATTACGCGTTGAGAGCATTTCACTGCTGTACATTTCCACGTGATGATGAGCCAATTCGTTGAGCTATCATTTTTGGCCAGGTCACTTCTGGAAAAGAGCTACATAGCTCAGTGTGCCTTACCTGGTAAAATTAACAAAAAGTTTAGTCTTCAAATAAATGTTGCTTTTAGAATAGTTTTGGAATTGTTAATGTCCGAGAATTTTGCTACGCACGCAGTGGACTTTGTCACAAACTGAATTCAGTTCACTAATTCGGTATTCTGAATTCAGCCCCCTAAGAAGCTCCCAGCACGTATGACAGGAGCAGTGTGTTCAGGAGCCAGTGTGGAGGTTGGCTCCTGAACACACATGGAGGTTTGCTGCTGGCCACGACGAGAGGGCTTCGAGAGAGAAGAGTTCGTGTCGTTTTTTGCTGTTCCTCCTCCATTGAAGGAGCGTAGAACACAGTGATGTATTGTGCGGACCGCCTATTGGCGTCCTTACCAGTCTCTTATTTTTCAACTAACAATTGCGGTACTTTCGGCAGCTTGTAAAAATAAAACCTCGCCCAGTTTGTAAACAAAAAAAATCGTTCTAACAGAAAAAAATAACATGATCAATTGCGTCGCTTTTTCATTTCGTTAGTTTTACGATGCTCATAATAACTTCAACTCGTGACACACACACAGTTTTCGCTCGCCCTCGAAGAGCGGAAGCTGAATCTTTTCGGAAGATGATGGCGATCGTTCACAGATGCCGAAGATGAGCGTTTCGTTTGATGCAAGGACGACGTTCGCCTTCCGAATCGGTGCGTGTCTTTTCTGTTTGTCCGAGTGTGCGAACGGAGCTGGGGATGTCACTCCGCTTGGCCGTGCTTGTTGTGTCGTTTGCAGCTAATCCTGCAGAGCGGCTTGCATTCAGACTTCACGAGCGCCCAGAAGCCATGCAACCAAAACAAAAACCGCTCCACGGCCGTCCTGCCGGGTAATGCACTCAGCAATACGCGCAATAACACACACACGCACACGCACAGATACGTGTGCGTGCGTGTGTGCTCGCACTCACACTTGCCGACAAATATATACGCATACATACAACGGACCAGGGATCCCCAGTTTAGCCTTATACAGACTGTTGGGGACAGTGCTGTTAGCGAGCACCTATTAAGGCTGGCACCTAGGGGAGGCCCAAGACTGGTTCAGATATCCACCAATGACGTGGGCCATTGATGGGAATTGAACTCTCTCGTCACGGAGTTTGTCGTGCAGCGCACGAAGCACTGCGCCACCACTCCCCACGCGCAGCACGTACGCGGCAGGTTCACGCAACTTGTGCCGCCAATGTTACACTTGGCCAGGAGGCAAACGCAGACCGCCAGGAGCACAGGAGCGGGGATTTTGCCACGACCGATGTGGGCCGCGAGCGTAGCGCAGTGCGCTGACCACCTCGCCACGGCCGCTCCCCGCGATCGCTCCGGACGTGCGCGTACGTTCACTGGTGCACATTCACACGTGCGGCCAAGAGGGGTTGCCACCTGCCCGTGTTTTCCCACGATTGTTCTTTTTTTGAGGTAGCGGACGTCCTCAGAAATCTGTCCCGTCTTCCTGGGACGGTAAATTAGAGATTATTCACATCACTCGAGGCGACGCATTCCGTCTGTGGTCCTCTCCCCCGCTGGCATTGTGAGGTATTCTACTTCCCGTGACGCGTCATGTTTATGGCACCTCACAGGTGGCACAGTCACAACACCACGTGCGCACACCGTGTGACGTGTAGATCACTGGGCATCGTCATTATTGCTGCGATTGTTTACCCGGAAAAGCCTCGCTGAGTCTCAGGACTCGTTCTGGGGAGAGTCCTGCCGAGTGTTCGTCGCGGGGAGGGGGGTGGGCGACGTCGCCGCTACGTGCACTGTCATCCCGAATTGAGTTGTTGTTTGCAGGTAATAATTCAGCATTGGGATGTTTTTTGGCCAACACCAGTTTCATGGCAATGCTCCTTCAGTTTCGGGAGAAAATCGAAGAAGCCAGAGGAATTCCCCCTAGATCGAGGGAGAGAGAGAGAGAGAAGGCTTTCTGTCACCATGAGCTACCGTGCCACTAGACTGCCACCCCACTGGGAGACTGTGTGTGTCCTTGTGTTCTGTCTCTGTGTCTAACCCAGCGGTGTTCCCCACCCCGCTGGGAGACTGTGTGTGTCCTTGTGTTCTGTCTCTGTGTCTAACCCAGCGGTGTTCCCCACCCCACTGGGACACTGTGTGTGTCCTTGTGTTCTGCCTCTGTGTCTAACCCAGCGGTGTTCTCCACGGCGCTGGGAGACTGTGTGTGTCCTTGTGCTCTGTCTCTGTGTCTAACCCAGCGGTGTTCCCCACAGCCCTGGGAGACTGTGTGTGTCCTTGTGTTCTGTCTCTGTGTCTAACCCAGTGGTGTTCCCCACCCCGCTGGGACACTGTGTGTGTCCTTGTGTTCTGTCTCTGTGTCTAACCCAGTGGTGTTCCCCACGGTGCTGGGAGACTGTGTGTGTCCTTGTGCTCTGTCTCTGTGTCTAACCCAGCGGTGTTCCCCACAGCCCTGGGAGACTGTGTGTGTCCTTGTGTTCTGTCTCTGTGTCTAACCCAGCGGTGTTCCCCACCCCACTGGGAGACTGTGTGTGTCCTTGTGTTCTGTCTCTGTGTCTAACCCAGCGGTGTTCCCCACCCCACTAGGAGACTGTGTGTGTCCTTGTGTTCTGTCTCTGTGTCTAACCCAGCGGTGTTCCCCATGGTGCTGAGAGACTGTGTGTGTCCTTGTGCTCTGTCTCTGTGTCTAACCCAGCGGTGTTCCCCACCCCACTAGGAGACTGTGTGTGTCCTTGTGTTCTGTCTCTGTGTCTAACCCAGCGGTGTTCCCCATGGTGCTGAGAGACTGTGTGTGTCCTTGTGCTCTGTCTCTGTGTCTAACCCAGCGGTATTCCCCACCCCGCTGGGACACTGTGTGTGTCCTTGTGTTCTGTCTCTGTGTCTAACCCAGCGGTGTTCCCCACAGCCCTGGGAGACTGTGTGTGTCCTTGTGTTCTGTCTCTGTGTCTAACCCAGTGGTGTTCCCCACCCCGCTGGGACACTGTGTGTGTCCTTGTGTTCTGTCTCTGTGTCTAACCCAGTGGTGTTCCCCACGGTGCTGGGAGACTGTGTGTGTCCTTGTGCTCTGTCTCTGTGTCTAACCCAGCGGTGTTCCCCACAGCCCTGGGAGACTGTGTGTGTCCTTGTGTTCTGTCTCTGTGTCTAACCCAGCGGTATTCCCCACCCCACTGGGAGACTGTGTGTGTCCTTGTGTTCTGTCTCTGTGTCTAACCCAGCGGTGTTCCCCACCCCACTAGGAGACTGTGTGTGTCCTTGTGTTCTGTCTCTGTGTCTAACCCAGCGGTGTTCCCCATGGTGCTGAGAGACTGTGTGTGTCCTTGTGCTCTGTCTCTGTGTCTAACCCAGCGGTGTTCCCCACCCCACTAGGAGACTGTGTGTGTCCTTGTGTTCTGTCTCTGTGTCTAACCCAGCGGTGTTCCCCATGGTGCTGAGAGACTGTGTGTGTCCTTGTGCTCTGTCTCTGTGTCTAACCCAGCGGTATTCCCCACCCCGCTGGGACACTGTGTGTGTCCTTGTGTTCTGTCTCTGTGTCTAACCCAGCGATGTTCCCCACGGTGCTGGGAGACTGTGTGTGTCGTTGTGTTCTGTCTCTGTGTCTAACCCAGCGGTGTCCCCCACCCCACTGGGAGACTGTGTGTGTCCTTGTGTTCTGTCTCTGTGTCTAACCCAGCGGTGTTCCCCATGGTGCTGAGAGACTGTGTGTGTCCTTGTGCTCTGTCTCTGTGTCTAACCCAGCGGTGTTCCCCACCCCACTAGGAGACTGTGTGTGTCCTTGTGTTCTGTCTCTGTGTCTAACCCAGCGGTGTTCCCCATGGTGCTGAGAGACTGTGTGTGTCCTTGTGCTCTGTCTCTGTGTCTAACCCAGCGGTATTCCCCACCCCGCTGGGACACTGTGTGTGTCCTTGTGTTCTGTCTCTGTGTCTAACCCAGCGATGTTCCCCACGGTGCTGGGAGACTGTGTGTGTCCTTGTGCTCTGTCTCTGTGTCTAACCCAGCGGTGTCCCCCACCCCACTGGGAGACTGTGTGTGTCCTTGTGTTCTGTCTCTGTGTCTAACCCAGCGGTGTTCCCCACAGCCCTGGGAGACTGTGTGTGTCCTTGTGTTCTGTCTCTGTGTCTAACCCAGTGGTGTTCCCCACCCCGCTGGGACACTGTGTGTGTCCTTGTGTTCTGTCTCTGTGTCTAACCCAGCGGTGTTCCCCACCCCACTGGGAGACTGTGTGTGTCCTTGTGTTCTGTCTCTGTGTCTAACCCAGCGGTGTTCCCCACGGTGCTGGGAGACTGTGTGTGTCCTTGTGTTCTGTCTCTGTGTCTAACCCAGCGGTGTTCCCCACGGTGCTGGGAGACTGTGTGTGTCCTTGTGCTCTGTCTCTGTGTCTAACCCAGCGGTGTTCCCCACCCCACTAGGAGACTGTGTGTGTCCTTGTGTTCTGTCTCTGTGTCTAACCCAGTGGTGTTCCCCACCCCGCTGGGACACTGTGTGTGTCCTTGTGTTCTGTCTCTGTGTCTAACCCAGTGGTGTTCCCCACCCCGCTGGGACACTGTGTGTGTCCTTGTGCTCTGTCTCTGTGTCTAACCCAGCGGTGTTCCCCACAGCCCTGGGAGACTGTGTGTGTCCTTGTGTTCTGTCTCTGTGTCTAACCCAGCGGTGTTCCCCACCCCACTGGGAGACTGTGTGTGTCCTTGTGTTCTGTCTCTGTGTCTAACCCAGCGGTGTTCCCCACCCCACTAGGAGACTGTGTGTGTCCTTGTGTTCTGTCTCTGTGTCTAACCCAGCGGTGTTCCCCATGGTGCTGAGAGACTGTGTGTGTCCTTGTGCTCTGTCTCTGTGTCTAACCCAGCGGTGTTCCCCACCCCACTAGGAGACTGTGTGTGTCCTTGTGTTCTGTCTCTGTGTCTAACCCAGCGGTGTTCCCCATGGTGCTGAGAGACTGTGTGTGTCCTTGTGCTCTGTCTCTGTGTCTAACCCAGCGGTATTCCCCACCCCGCTGGGACACTGTGTGTGTCCTTGTGTTCTGTCTGTGTGTCTAACCCAGCGGTGTTCCCCACAGCCCTGGGAGACTGTGTGTGTCCTTGTGTTCTGTCTCTGTGTCTAACCCAGTGGTGTTCCCCACCCCGCTGGGACACTGTGTGTGTCCTTGTGTTCTGTCTCTGTGTCTAACCCAGTGGTGTTCCCCACGGTGCTGGGAGACTGTGTGTGCCCTTGTGCTCTGTCTCTGTGTCTAACCCAGCGGTGTTCCCCACAGCCCTGGGAGACTGTGTGTGTCCTTGTGTTCTGTCTCTGTGTCTAACCCAGCGGTGTTCCCCACCCCACTGGGAGACTGTGTGTGTCCTTGTGTTCTGTCTCTGTGTCTAACCCAGCGGTGTTCCCCACCCCACTAGGAGACTGTGTGTGTCCTTGTGTTCTGTCTCTGTGTCTAACCCAGCGGTGTTCCCCATGGTGCTGAGAGACTGTGTGTGTCCTTGTGCTCTGTCTCTGTGTCTAACCCAGCGGTGTTCCCCACCCCACTAGGAGACTGTGTGTGTCCTTGTGTTCTGTCTCTGTGTCTAACCCAGCGGTGTTCCCCATGGTGCTGAGAGACTGTGTGTGTCCTTGTGCTCTGTCTCTGTGTCTAACCCAGCGGTATTCCCCACCCCGCTGGGACACTGTGTGTGTCCTTGTGTTCTGTCTCTGTGTCTAACCCAGCGATGTTCCCCACGGTGCTGGGAGACTGTGTGTGTCGTTGTGTTCTGTCTCTGTGTCTAACCCAGCGGTGTCCCCCACCCCACTGGGAGACTGTGTGTGTCCTTGTGTTCTGTCTCTGTGTCTAACCCAGCGGTGTTCCCCACAGCCCTGGGAGACTGTGTGTGTCCTTGTGTTCTGTCTCTGTGTCTAACCCAGTGGTGTTCCCCACCCCGCTGGGACACTGTGTGTGTCCTTGTGTTCTGTCTCTGTGTCTAACCCAGCGGTGTTCCCCACCCCACTGGGAGACTGTGTGTGTCCTTGTGTTCTGTCTCTGTGTCTAACCCAGCGGTGTTCCCCACGGTGCTGGGAGACTGTGTGTGTCCTTGTGTTCTGTCTCTGTGTCTAACCCAGCGGTGTTCCCCACGGTGCTGGGAGACTGTGTGTGTCCTTGTGCTCTGTCTCTGTGTCTAACCCAGCGGTGTTCCCCACCCCACTAGGAGACTGTGTGTGTCCTTGTGTTCTGTCTCTGTGTCTAACCCAGCGGTGTTCCCCACCCCACTGGGACACTGTGTGTGTCCTTGTGTTCTGCCTCTGTGTCTAACCCAGCGGTGTTCCCCACCCCACTGGGACACTGTGTGTGTCCTTGTGTTCTGCCTCTGTGTCTAACCCAGCGGTGTTCTCCACGGCGCTGGGAGACTGTGTGTGTCCTTGTGCTCTGTCTCTGTGTCTAACCCAGCGGTGTTCCCCACAGCCCTGGGAGACTGTGTGTGTCCTTGTGTTCTGTCTCTGTGTCTAACCCAGTGGTGTTCCCCACCCCGCTGGGACACTGTGTGTGTCCTTGTGTTCTGTCTCTGTGTCTAACCCAGTGGTGTTCCCCACGGTGCTGGGAGACTGTGTGTGTCCTTGTGCTCTGTCTCTGTGTCTAACCCAGCGGTGTTCCCCACAGCCCTGGGAGACTGTGTGTGTCCTTGTGTTCTGTCTCTGTGTCTAACCCAGCGGTGTTCCCCACCCCACTGGGAGACTGTGTGTGTCCTTGTGTTCTGTCTCTGTGTCTAACCCAGCGGTGTTCCCCACCCCACTAGGAGACTGTGTGTGTCCTTGTGTTCTGTCTCTGTGTCTAACCCAGCGGTGTTCCCCATGGTGCTGAGAGACTGTGTGTGTCCTTGTGCTCTGTCTCTGTGTCTAACCCAGCGGTGTCCCCCACCCCACTGGGAGACTGTGTGTGTCCTTGTGTTCTGTCTCTGTGTCTAACCCAGCGGTGTTCCCCACAGCCCTGGGAGACTGTGTGTGTCCTTGTGTTCTGTCTCTGTGTCTAACCCAGTGGTGTTCCCCACCCCGCTGGGACACTGTGTGTGTCCTTGTGTTCTGTCTCTGTGTCTAACCCAGCGGTGTTCCCCACCCCACTGGGAGACTGTGTGTGTCCTTGTGTTCTGTCTCTGTGTCTAACCCAGCGGTGTTCCCCACGGTGCTGGGAGACTGTGTGTGTCCTTGTGTTCTGTCTCTGTGTCTAACCCAGCGGTGTTCCCCACGGTGCTGGGAGACTGTGTGTGTCCTTGTGCTCTGTCTCTGTGTCTAACCCAGCGGTGTTCCCCACCCCACTAGGAGACTGTGTGTGTCCTTGTGTTCTGTCTCTGTGTCTAACCCAGCGGTGTTCCCCACGGTGCTGGGAGACTGTGTGTGTCCTTGTGCTCTGTCTCTGTGTCTAACCCAGCGGTGTTCCCCACGGCGCTGGGAGACTGTGTGTGTCCTTGTGTTCTGTCTCTGTGTCTAACCCAGGGGTGTTCCCCACCCCGCTGGGAGACTGTGTGTGTCCTTGTGTTCTGTCTCTGTGTCTAACCCAACGGTGTCCCCCACCCCACTGGGAGACTGTGTGTGTCCTTGTGTTCTGTCTCTGTGTCTAACCCAGCGATGTTCCCCACGGCGCTGGGAGACTGTGTGTGTCCTTGTGCTCTGTCTCTGTGTCTAACCCAGCGGTGTTCCCCACGGTGCTGGGAGACTGTGTGTGTCCTTGTGTTCTGTCTCTGTGTCTAACCCAGCGGTGTTCCCCACGGTGCTGGGAGACTGTGTGTGTCCTTGTGTTCTGTCTCTGTGTCTAACCCAGCGGTGTTCCCCACCCCACTGGGAGACTGTGTGTGTCCTTGTGTTCTGTCTCTGTGTCTAACCCAGCGGTGTTCCCCACCCCGCTGGGACACTGTGTGTGTCCTTGTGTTCTGCCTCTGTGTCTAACCCAGCGGTGTTCCCCATGGTGCTGAGAGACTGTGTGTGTCCTTGTGCTCTGTCTCTGTGTCTAACCCAGTGGTGTTCCCCACCCCACTGGGAGACTGTGTGTGTCCTTGTGTTCTGTCTCTGTGTCTAACCCAGTGGTGTTCCCCACCCCGCTAGGAGACTGTGTGTGTCCTTGTGCTCTGTCTCTGTGTCTAACCCAGTGGTGTTCCCCACCCCGCTAGGAGACTGTGTGTGTCCTTGTGTTCTGTCTCTGTGTCTAACCCAGCGGTGTTCTCCACGGTGCTGGGAGACTGTGTGTGTCCTTGTGCTCTGTCTCTGTGTCTAACCCAGCGGTGTTCCCCACGGTGCTGGGAGACTGTGTGTGTCCTTGTGTTCTGTCTCTGTGTCTAACCCAGCGGTGTTCCCCACCCCGCTAGGAGACTGTGTGTGTCCTTGTGCTCTGTCTCTGTGTCTAACCCAGCGGTGTTCCCCACAGTGGAGTCGTCGCGAGTGGAGCTCGCCTCCCTGGGAGACGTCGAGGGTTCGGACTACATCAACGCCTCCTACATCATGGTGGGTCAGCGCCTGCCCGCGCCACCCCAGCCACCTAGCCCGTGCAGCCGCGCGTCCTCTCGCGCTCTCGAGAGTCTCTCGGAGCGGAGCCGAGCGGCCGAGCGAACGTAACGCGTGGCGTCTTGTTAAGTGGGCAGCCGGCTGAGCATTGAAGCCAAACCACAATGCGTTGCTGCCCGCAGGCGGGAGGCCGGGCGGGCGGTCAGCCGGGGCTGCACTCGGGCTCAGCCCCCCTTCTCCGACCCACTCGCCACTTCCATTCACAGGCGGCCGCTACGCTCACAAAAACCTCCCGAAGCCAAACTCGGACGGGGGGCGGCGGGGGGGGGGTGGAAGTTCGCCACCGGCACGGCGCGTGGTGCTGGCCACCCACCCCCTCGTGTCCCCTGCCGGCCTTCGTAGGTGCTCGCTAAAAGCTCTTGCCCCAACAGTCTGTTAAGGCTATACGGGGGATCTTTGTGTTTGTTAAGTCACGCACGCACACATCCTTCTCGGCTTCTATGCAGTTGGAATGAATAGGGCGACAAGACGGACCCACACTTCACCCCACCACCAGCTAGCTGGTCATTGACCGACTGCAATGTAGTGCGCACTGGCAAATGTGTTTTGTAACTCAATAATCACCTTTATACTTATACGTCGTCAGCCAGGTTCAGTCCACGGCTGGATGAAGGCGTCGATAAGCTGCCAACCTCCCATCATCGAACTTTACATTTTTATTTTTTTAAATTACTTTGGCAAAGCGGTGGAGCGCCACGTGGGTCACGTGCCGCATGCAAACCGCGCCCCCCAGTGAGTCAACGTGTTAACGCCCCCCAGTGGGTTAACGCGTTAACGCCCCCCAGTGGGTTAACGTGCTAACACATCCAGTGGGTTAACGCGTTAACGCCCCCCAGTGGGTTAACGCGTTAACACATCCAGTGGGTTAACGTGTTAACGCCCCCCAGTGGGTTAACGTGCTAACGCGTCCAGTGGGTTAACGCGTTAACGCCCCCCCCCCCCCCATTGGGTAAACACGTTAACGCCCTTCAGTGGGTTAACGTGTTAACGTGTCCAGTGGGTTAACGTGCTAACGCGTCCAGTGGGTTAACGTGCTAACGCCCCCCAGTGGGTTTAATGCATCCAATAGTACAATGTTTCTTCAATGCCTCCAGTGGTTGAACCTGTAAATGCATCCACCTTACGGCCCATTGGCCGCTCTTGCACTTGGGAAGCCAGCGGTGAAGAGAGCGCTGCCACTGGCAATGACATCCCAGCAGGAGAAACGCGGAGACACTGAAGGGGTGGCTTGGCGGGGGTGAAAGCAAAAAAGGAAATCAGAAAAATCCACAAGCGATGTCATCATTCCTTTTGGCCGTGTTTATTTATTCAGGTTGCCTCAATATCATTTTTATGATACGATATCAAATTTCGCGATTATCGCGATATCTGTTTTCCATAGCTTCACAATTGTATTGCGCATTGGAACTCGCACTACTCGCACTGTCTGCTATGCTGTACTTCCCGGTACAAATGAATATCGCTTTTAAAAACGATTATCCAAATGCAGTTGTGATAAACATATGCCTGCCATAACTATTATATTTATTGCAACTTGACAATCTACAACGCTCATAGTGTTCTCAGTAACACCATAAACAATTAATTTAACGTACTATAGGAAATTAAGACGTCATATAATTGCCATGCCCTAAATCACTCTCATATAGTTTTTGCAAAGCACTAATGGATAACAGATTTTTTTTTACACCTTTAAGGATCGAGTTATTTCGTAATAGCTTGTTCAAGAAATAGAACATTTAATGCAAATCGAGAAACGAGCAAAACGACAATCGGGATGTAAGGACGCTCGTCAAAACGGGACGGTGTGAAGATAGTGGATATTTTATTGTCACATCGCATCCGTCAGCACGGCGGCAAAATAAAGATTCTTCGTTTGCGCTGCCACGTTCCGATTTGCAGGGCTATAGCAGCAGCACGGAGTACATCATGACTCAACACGTTCCGATTTGCAGGGCTATAGCAGCAGCACGGAGTACATCATGACTCAACATCCGCTGCCAAACACCATCAAGGACTTCTGGAGAATGATCTGGGACTACAACGTACAGCTCATCATCATGCTCCCGGGACCTAACCAGGACAAGGTGCCTCGCCGCTGACAAACACGTGACCTGGAGGGTAGCCGGGTGGGCGCTGCGCTACGAACCCGGCGACCCGGGTTCGATTCCCGCTCGCGGCCAACACCCGCTGACGATTATTTGACTCAAATGAGTACCCGATGCCGCTTGTAAACATCGCCGCTGGGGAGACAAAGGCGGCCGGGCGAGGTGCTGGCCACCCACCCCCCTCGTGAGCCGTGCCGGCCTTCACGGGTGCTACTCGCGAACAGCACTTGCCCCAACAGTCTGTCAAAGGCTACACGGGGGACCTTTGTCTTTGTGTGTGCGTGCGTCTCCACCGCGCGCAGGACGGGGAGGAGTTTGCCTACTGGCCCCGGCGCGACCAAGCGATGCACTGCGAAGGCTTCGGCGTGTCGCTCATCAGCGAGGACCGGCTGTGTCTCTCCAGCGAGGAGCAAGTGGTTATCCGGGAACTCATCCTCGAGGCAACGCAGGTGCTCCCGCACATTCCGTGCTTCGCTCGCTCGTTCACCTTGAAGGCCGTGCGCCGTAAATCTGCCCGCCGGAGATTTTGGCCAAGAGAGAGGGGATCCCATCCTGCGAATGTACGCCTCTCCCCGGCAAAGCAATCCGATAGCACGAATACAAATCATTGTTTGGTTGATGCTGCGTTGGCAGCGGAGGGCGCAGCGAACGACGCGGAAACTCGACGCGTTCGTCAACAGCGCCGTGGCCCTTTGCAAGGTCAAAATATACAACGAGGCGACGTCACGGGGCAGAGCTTTCTGTGGCTGGGACGGTGGCGGTATGGCAATGCAAATTAGGTTTCTCGGTGTTTAAACGCTGAAGCAATCCCCTCTGCAATTCTCCACCATTCCTTGCGTGCGCTGTGTGCGTGTGTAATGGGGAGCGGTAGTGTAGCGGGGATAGCGCGCCAACACCGGTGACGATTATCTGAACCGGCCCTGGGCCTCCTCTAGGTCGACTCAGCCTCAAATGAGCACCTGGTGTGGTGTGTAAACATCGCCACTGGGGAGACAAAGGCGGCCGGGCGTGGTGTTGGCCACCCACCCCCTCGTGTGCCGTGCCGGCCTTTATAGGTGCTTGCGAACAGCGCTTGCCCCTACAGTCTGTTAAGGCTACACGGGGGATCTTTGTCTCTGTGCGTGTGTGCTCTCCATCTAGCGGGATTAACCAACAACGAAGTTGGATTTTTATTTCTACGCGATCTGAACAAGTCAACAAACAACACCCAACTTACCCTTGCGCGGCTCACGGCAGGTTTCGTGCCGCGGTGAACGCGCGTCACCGCGGCGTGGCGAGTTTGTCTTTTTGTAAGGCGACGCTTGCGGAGGCTCAGGTGGTAATGGTCGTTCCACTTGCCCCTGGCAATAATCGCAGTGTTGAAATGAAGCGGATTCAGGCTGCTGCTGCTGCTCGCTGGGGCCAGGGAGCGCGAGCTTAAATTGGCAGGGAACCACGGCGTAAAGGGAGGCCGTAACGACCCCTAATCACCCATCCGAGAGCAGGGCCGGCATGTAAACGTTACAAGCGGTGGGGGAGGATATTTTCGCACTAATTGAATGCGATTAACGTCTCCCAGGAAAGATATCCCAGAGCAAATGAATCACTCCGGGTCTGAGAGAGGCAACGTGCTGCGGGGGAGAGTTCAGGAGCGTGGGGGAGAGAGGGGCGGTTGTTTGTTTCCGTCGGTGATTCTCTGGCGCGGCTGCGTGGTGGTGCAGCGCTCGGCATCGCTCCCATTACGATAATGTCCCACGGTGAGCGCCACGAATTGGTAGGCCGAGTCGCTGGGTGGTGGGGTGAGTGGCTAAAAACCTAAAGTCACCTCAAGACAGACACCGCGGACCCAGCCAAAGTTATTCCGTAAGTGAAATTGCGGATAATTGCTAAGCGATATCCCAGATTGCTAAGCGTGCCAAAATCGGTCTGTACATGTTGCGTTCAGCCTTCCGTGTATTCGTGTTTTATTATTTATTTAAAGGGCTTGGCAGGCCTCTCGTTCAACAATAAGGGACAGGGCAGTACATGTGTGCGCACACACACGTGCATGTATTCATAATCAGGAGCCATGATCTATCCACTGCTCGATGAAAGCCTCCCCAAGCAGTCACCGTTTCCGTGGTCTCGCAATGCGACGATCAGTCTGGCTCCTGCACACGAGGCGAGGGGAGCCGCGGTGGCTAGGAGATGTTAACTACCTCGCCTGGTATGCAAGAGGTCGTGGGGATCGATCCCGACCCCGACGCCTGCTGTAGATTTAGAGTTTGAGTGTCTCTCTTTCTCTGTATTTTTCTCTGGGTCCTCCGGTTTTTCCCTCCACATTGAGAATCCACATCGCACGTTTGCAGTAATTGGCTCTTAGAAATTTACAATTGATGATAAGCCGCTTCGATGAGCTATCATTCGTGATAGCCAGGTCGCTTCTGAAAAAGAGCTACATAGCTCAGTGGGCCTTACCTGGTAAAATAAAAAAAAATAGTTCATTTAGTTTGTATATACGTACGTATGCTGCACTTATTTTACACCGTACGTAGCCAACTGCGCAAATCGGCGGTGCGTGGGGTAGAGACGACAAACACCAAACACTAAAAGTCGATCAAAGTGTCGTCTGTGAGGCCGAGTCCACCACCACGCAGGTGGAGGGCTGGACGAGCGATGTTCACGGTGGACTCATGCCAGCGGCCGCAGCGCGACGTCGCTGACCCACATGGCGCCCCGCTCCCCCGCCACTCCGCCCCCCCGCCCCCCCTCTCGTCGTGTTCGCCAGGATGACTACGTGCTCGAGGTGAAGCACTTCCAGTGCCCGCGGTGGCCCAACCCGGACGGCCCCATCAGCAGCGTCTTCGAGCTCGTCAACATCGTGGCGAAGGAGGCGCTGACGCGCGACGGCCCCACCGTCGTGCACGACCTGTGAGTGGAGAGGGCGCGCAACGACGCGCCACGCATGCACGCACGCGGGTTGACGGCGCGATGGGTGCCGCTATCCGGCCGTGGTGCACACTGGCACGGCGTCGTTACGATCAATATTGTACCGTGGCGAGCGCCGGGAATTGTTAGGCCTAGTCGCGGGGTGGGGTGAGTGGCCCAATATCTGGAAGTCACCTCAAGACAGACAATGCGGACCCAGCCAAAGTGATTTCAAAAGTTAAAATTGCGGACAATTGCTAAGCGGCCCATTGCAATGTCATGCGAAATGTCTTTAGCGGCATCCAACATTCCTCAGCGTGCCAAAGTCTGCGCATGTTATGTTCAGCCTTCTGTGTATTCATGTTTGATTACTTATTTAAAGGGCTTTGCAAGCCTCTCATTTAACAGTAAGGGACAGGGCTGTACATATGTGCGCACACACAAACACGTACATGTATTCACCGTGAGGACCCACGATCTATCCACTGCCGGATGAAGGCCCCCTTTCAAGCAGTCGCCATTTCTCGTGGTCTCGCAGTGCGACGATCCGTCCAGCTCCCGCACACGAGGCGAGGGGTGTCTCCGAGCGTGCGTGTGGAGATATCTGCGCGAGCGTGTTCCGGCAACCGCCTGATGATGCTGGTTGTGACTACAAGAGTAACGTCGTAACCACGTTGTTGAACGTCGCGGGTCGCTCCCCGGCGCAGCACACACGCGGAGCTGCTCAAGCGGAAATAAATTGGCGCCGTTTCTTAGCGGCAAAACTTTATTCATTGGCCGTGTCGGGTGGAGAGAGGTGCGCGGTACAGCATCTTACTTGCGCGACCTGACCAAAACAATTAACCTAAATATTGGTCACGAAAGCTTACACAGTGTTCAATGAGTGTGTATGTAACTGTGTTTGTGCTTATGCGTGTGTGTAGAGCACTGGCCCCATATTCTGTTCAAGGCTATATGGGGATCTGTCTGTCTGTGTCTACCCATGTGTGCCCGTGTGTGTCCGTGTGTCCACCCGTGTGTCTACCCGTGTGTCCACCCGTGTGTCCACCCGTGTGTCCACCCGTGTGTCCTCCCGTGTGTCCGCCCGTGTGTGTGACCGTGTGTCCACCCGTGTGTCCTCCCGTGTGTCCTCCCGTGTGTCCACCCGTGTGTGCGTGCGCCCCGCAGGCTGGGCAGCTCAGTGGCCGGCACGTTCTGCGCCCTCGCCGCACTCTCGCGGCAGCTGGAGGAGGAGAACTCCGTGGACGTGTTCCAGGCAGCGCGCATGATCAACCTCATGCGGCCCGGCGTCTTCTCCGACGTCGTACGTGCGCGCCACTAGCGGCACACGGGACACTGCACACGGGACATGGGACACGGGACATGGGACACGGGACACGGGACATGACACACGGGACATGGGACACGGGACATGACACACGGGACATGGGACACGGGACATGGGACAAGGCACACAGGACATGACACACGGGACACGGCACACGACACATGGGACACGGGACATGGGACACGGGACACGGGACATGACACACGGGACATGACACACGGGACACGGCACACGGGACATGGGACAAGGGACACGGGACACGACACATGGGACACGGGACATGGGACACGGGACATGACACACGGGACATGACACACGGGACATGGCACACGGGACATGACACACTGGACATGGGACACGGGACACGACACATGGGACACGGGACATGACACACGGCACACGGGACACGTGTGTTCCGAATCGCAGCTGCCAGACCTCTCGCCCACGCCTGCCAACGTGGCCGCACGGCCCCCCTGCTCGACCACGCCTGGTGGCGCCCAGCGCGGTCGCGGATCTCGTTTTGTGCCCTCACGTAGGCGACAATTCGTTTGAAACGACGTCAGACGTCGCGGAGAGAGACGTGCGATCGCTAGCCCGGCGGGCCAACCGCTAAAACCGCGGGCGCATCCCGACTTTGAATAAATTGGTGGGGAGGGGTGGGGGGAAAAACCTCACCGTGAGCTTCCACTCTTCTCCTCTCCCGAGTTCTCACCTGCTTCAACAAAATAAACCCACGTAACTGTGCATCGTGTTCACGACATGCGTAAAGAGCGCTGACCGCGCTTGCGTCTCGTCCCCGCAGGAGCAGTACCAGTACCTGTACAAGGCGCTGCTGAGCCTGGTGAGCGCTCGCGAGAACAGCGGCAACGGCGTGAAGCCGGACGGCCGCAACGGCGCGTCGGCCCTGCTGGAGGACGTCACGCCGGAGGAGAGCCTCGAGTCGCTCGTGTGACGACGACGCCCCCCGCGGGCTCCGTCCCACCAACCCCCCCCCCCCCACCCGCCCCCCCCCGTCGTATCCTTCGGCACCGGCGCACGTGCGCTCAGCCGCGACGGTTTGGAGCACGGCGCGCCCGCACCACGCCGGTGCGTGGATGCGACCGCGACTCGTTAATCTCTCTCTCTCTCTCTCTCCGTTTGAAGTAGCCGGAAGACTAGAATAAGCGCGAGAGCAGTAGTCTCGGCCGTAGCGCGAGGTATACTAGATGCGGTGTGCCGGGTACAGACGCGTCACGCAGACCCGGCTGAAATGCAGCCCCCGGGCGTGTGACCCGGTGAGGTCAGTTGGACGCATTGGGTGCGGCACCTGCGCAGCGTGGGAGTGGGCAGGCGGCCGAGGTTGACGTTCGAGCGGCCGGGCGTCGACTGGCAACAGTTGCGTGGTCTGGCAGAAGAAGCGATGGGCGGCGCGGCCGTGTCGGCAGAGTTGGCCGCGGTAAACCCCTCGACCGTGACCGCGCGCCCCAATCACACGGAGCGAGCGGGAGCTCACCATGGCCATCTCAAATCATCGGCCGTGATTTATCCAGTGCTGGATGAAGGCCTCCCCCACATCCACCGCCATCCTTCACGGTCGCGGAGATCGCAACCGTCCGCCCGGCACCTGCACGCCAGCCGATATACAGCGCGTCGTCGTCATCGTCATTGTTATCATCGTCGTCATCGTCGTCATCGTCGTCGTCGTCGTCATCGTCGTCGTCGTCATTGTTGTCATAGTCGTCATCGTCGTCGTCATCGTCGTCATCGTCGGCGTCGTCATTGTTGTCATAGTCGTCATCGTCGTCGTCATCGTCGTCATCGTCGTCGTCGTCATTGTTGTCATAGTCGTCATCGTCGTCGTCATCGTCGTCATCGTCGGCGTCGTCATTGTTGTCATAGTCGTCATCGTCGTCGTCATCGTCGTCATCGTCGGCGTCGTCATTGTTGTCATAGTCGTCATCGTCGTCGTCATCGTCGCCATCGTCGGCGCTCTGCATGGATGAGATGGGCACCAGGGTGGTGAAACGTCAAAACGGTTGCCCCCGCAGAGAGATGCCCACAGAGAAGGATGGCCCCGAGGCTCGTTCGACCAGGCACACTCCGCATCTGTCCTTTCATTTTAAAGCGCAGCAGCGTCACATTTACCCGGCAGTCTTTAATATTAAACGATATTATTACGGCAATATTTTACGTTTGAAAAAAATTCTATATTTTTGGCCGGGTTGACTTTGTCTTCAGGCCTTGCAAACTGGAGTCCATATGAAATCACCAAACTCCTTCTGGGGTCACATCAGTCGGCTTCTCGGCAAGCAGTAGACAGCGCTGTGCTGCCAACAGAATGTTGAACAGAATGTTCGCAGCACCTCGTTCTTTGTGCTCTCTCCTCCGTGCTCTCCCATGTGCCCATCATCCTAACACGCCTCGCCGTTGCACCATTTAAACTCCCTTTTCGCCACACGTCTGTCGTATTATCCTTGCGGCCGTTCCGTAATTCCGGTCAGCGATGAGAGAGCGAGCGAGAGAGAGAGAGAGACATCCGCAGCACACCGCGTTCTCATCCTCCACGCCGATTAGATCATTGCAGCCAAGCGATCGTAACGAGCAACACAAATAACAAGTAACAATTACGTCCGGTGCTTGCGATGGCTCAACTAACGAACCGCAGGGTTGTTAACGAGAAGCTATCTACACTCTCTTAAAATATCTCGCGCGATACGAGCCCTCATCTCCCCTGGAACTTGCCGGCGTGGCATCGCCGCGGTCCATTGCACTGCCATCCCTGGTGGCCACTGTGTGATGCCATCGTGCAAGTACCATTTGGGTTCCGATCGCATCTTGAAGCAGAACGCTTTTCGGAAAATTCCACAGAGAGAAGCAGGATGTGGGCATCCTGGGAAATGGAGGGAAAATTTTGTTCATTTTTTTTTAGTGAGAGAGATTAACTCGTAGGAGAACATAGAAGAAGGTCTTTCTGAGCCTGGATGTCACCAGGGGCAGGGAGCCCACAGCACTGACGGCTGGGGGAAGAAGGTTCCAGACTGAGGACAACAGAGGAGACAAACACCTGTTAAAAGTTTGGTTTCAGCCAGTAAACGTTAATAGACATTTAACGATATATTCCTTGATGTAATGTAATCGGCATTTTTTTATATCAGGCCAGAAGATTACTCCCTGTTGTCGGTTTTAACGTTAAACCCAGAGGCGTCGGTTATTCAGAGCGCGTGGAGCACACGGAGGAGAACGTTGTTACAGAGTAGATTGCTTAAATCGATTCCTGCTGCAAATGACACAATAATTTTAGCGATTGCCCGTCGCACTTTAATTTGGCCGTGATTACATTTTGCTTTACAAAAATTCCAGCAAGGGCTTTGTCAGCGATAACAGTGCACCCCCCACCCCCCCTGCCCAACTCTGGATTGCGATCAGCGGAATGAAGCGACGGTCCGATTCTGGCTTAATTTGGCGACCGGCCGGTACTGTGCTTTATAAATAATTGGTCATGGCCGAGGGGTTTCCTGGTGAGAAGATTCGTTGAGTCACAGCGCCGTGGCCTGCTCGTTTGTGCCGAGCCTCCTAACGAGGTCACCATTTTCTGGGGCGTTTTTTGTCTTTTTCCCAACGGAGCGTCGTTTTAATTGGCGCACCCGCAAAGAAACGTGCCCCGACAACGGTTAACTTTCCGCTTCTCCGGTCGCTTCCTTAACTACACATTTGGCAGCCTTTCGCGGAATGGGATTGGCCGACATCCAGGAGCCGGTCGTCTTTTTTTTAGATTCATTAAAACATCAACCGATGCGCCCAGATAGAAACGAAAAAATACATCCATAATTTAGGTTTTTTTGGGGGTTAGATCGCATAAATATAAAGGTTCGCTGCACTAGTAACGAATTGGCATGTTCTGTTTATGTGACAAATCTTACTAATTGGTGGTGGCGGGTTTAACGACACATTTATAATCAAGCCCCCGTGTAAAAAAACAACGCAATTAGCATTTGCAAAGTCGACAAAAGTCGACGTAAAGGCGTGAAAATCCGAACGGCGGCGGATCGACTGCGGTCACGGCCCGGACTGCAGGGCAAGATGCGGCGTCTTCGCTGTGTCCACTCCACGTTCGTTCTGCTGAGCCGTCTCTTGTTGGGGGGTGATCGCGGCACGTGAAGACTGCACGTGGTCGAGTCGAGCATCAGCCCCCCCCCCCCCCGCCACTGGTCAAACGTGGACACCGGCGAGCGTCTTGAGGACCCACTTTCACGAGCTGTGCCAAAACACGCGCACAGGTCGGTCGTTTTCATGCCATGTACGTACCCTGAACTTCTTTCGCACCGTACGTAGCCGACCCTGCTGATCGGAGGTGCGGGAGAAGGACGACAAACTGGACACAAAAAAGCAGTTCGGGTGAAATTAGTTTTCAATCTGCCATACGGAGAGGAGTGGTGATGATGATGCTGCTGCTGCTGCTGCGTTCAAGTTTGCATATCGACGTGGTGGGAGCAAAGGCCAGTGCACCCATTGAAAGTCCAACATCGATAAAGTTGAGGTATGGTGGACAACAACGAGCCTGATTTCCTAGCTTTTCAAACACACGCACACCGCAAGATATTTGTTAAATCGTTCGAGTCATCCTTAATGTGAACTTTTAACGCTTTTGTTTTTACTAACGATATAAATTCTATCGTAGTCAGCCACCTTTTATATTGTGAGTAAACCTTTGCTTGCAGCCGTGCTCTACTAAAGACTAACGATGGTAAGTGAATCACATGGTAAAGTAACCAATGCATGCCGTTTGAATGTGAAAAGCTAAATATTTTATATAGTATACTGGTTTGGAATGGAGGAAAGAACACGTTTTGGAACCTCCTAATGGGAAATGGTTGGAATGAACAGAATGCCGAAACGTTATAACGTCCGTGCAACGATATCCGTTCCGATAGGGTATGCGTTGTATGGAAGTTATACGTTAGGGCAATACAGTACAACCTTTGGGGGACAATGATTCCACATTCGCAGACAGGTGGGAGAGAGGTACGGCTTTGCTTCAGTTCAACGTCACTTGTTTACTCGCGTTATTCAGAATGAGAATCGTGAGTTTATTTCTCGCTCGGGCCCGTTGAGGACGGCGTACTGAGTAACGTGAGCAAACTGGAGCGAGCGTGGAAGCAACTGGGAGTAGTATCGTGGGAGCAACTGGGAGTAGTATCGTGGGAGCAACTGGGAGTAGTATCGTGGAAGCAACTGGGAGTAGTATCGTGGGAGCAACTGGTAGTATCGAACCCAAAGAGATTCTCGAGTAACATCAACGGACAGAGGCAAAGGGAAGGCCACGATCGCTCACGTGTTTGAGAAAGCGCGTGGCTCACAGAGACAGAGAGACGCACACAGAGACAGAGAAACAGAAAGAGAGAGACACAGAGACACAGACAGAGACACACACAGAGAGAGAGACAGAGAGAGATAGACACAGAGACACAGAGAGCGAGAGACACACAGAGAGACAGAGAGAGACAGAGACACAGAGAGAGACACACAGAGAGACAGAGAGAGAGACACACAGAGAGACAGAGCCATTGGGCCATAAGCTCTTTTTTTAGGGCAGCTCGGCCAGCAGACAGCGGCGGCGTTACAGAGCTACGACAAACAGCCGTGAGTGAGTGAGTGCGTCAGTGAGTGAGTGTATGAGTGAGCGAGTGCGTCAGTGAGTGAGTGTATGAGTGAGCGAGTGCGTCAGTGAGTGAGTGTATGAGTGAGCGAGTGCGTCAGTGAGTGAGTGTATGAGTGAGCGAGTGCGTCAGTGAGTGAGTGTATGAGTGAGCGAGTGCGTCAGTGAGTCAGTGCGTCAGTGAGCGAGTGCGTCAGTGAGTGAGTGTATGAGTGAGCGAGTGCGTCAGTGAGTGAGTGTATGAGTGAGCGAGTGCGTCAGTGAGTGAGTGCGTCAGTGAGTGAGTGTATGAGTGAGCGAGTGCGTCAGTGAGTGAGTGCGTCAGTGAGTGAGTGTATGAGTGAGTGGGTGCGTCAGTGAGTGAGTGTATGAGTGAGCGAGTGCGTCAGTGAGTGAGTGTATGAGTGAGCGAGTGCGTCAGTGAGTGAGTGTATGAGTGAGTGCGTCAGTGAGTGAGTGAGTGCGTCAGTGAGTGAGTGCGTCAGTGAGTGTATGAGCGAGTGAGTGCGTCAGTGAGTGAGTGCGTCAGTGAGGGAGTGCATGAGTGAGTCAGTGCGTCAGTGAGTGAGTGCATGAGTGAGTGCGTCAGTGAGTGAGTGCGTCAGTGAGTGAGTGTATGAGTGAGTGAATGACTGCGTCAGTGAGTGAGTGCATGAGTGAGTGCGTCAGTGAGTGACTGAGTGAGTGAGTGCGTCAGTGAGGGAGTGAGTGCGTGAGTGAGTGCGTCAGTTAGGGAGTGAGTGACAGTGAGTGAGTGACAGTGCATGAGTGACAGTGAGTGAGTG